ATTTTGTGCCTGAATGAAAGCTTTCATCATGTTGGTGAGCATGACCTGGTTTTGTTCCATAAATTGAGAGTAATCTGGTGAGATTTGAGGTTGTTCTCCTTGAGGATTGGGTGCTTGCTGATCAGCCATGTTGGGTAATATGTTGGATGTTTGATCGAGAATGAGGGAGAGTATTGATTTGAGGTGTGAAATCTTGGTTGGTTGTATTGGTTGTATAGTAGTGTAGTTTGCTGAATGTTTGTGTCAATGTATATAAACAATTCAGTATCAGGTTTGGGTTCTCCGAGCTGGTGGAATGGAAATCAACACGAGCGAGATGTATAGCAATGTATAGTGTTCAAAGATAGAAACTAGGAACGACTATGAATATAGGAGGGTTGACTATTATGATTCAGTAAATGCAAAGATCTAATATATCTGTTTCGATCTTTCCCTTTAATGAATACTTAGCCGGCGTGTCTTGCTGTTCAACTTTTGTTTACTATTCTGCTGTAGGCGACAGGATAGAAAAAAAGGAAATAAAAAAGTACGAAAGTTGCTACCAATTGTCAGATGCGAATACGTAGAGATAGTATATGCAATCTGAGATCTGATCGAGATAGATATAGATATAGATGTAGGGATTATGCAGGAATGTATATAGCCTTTTAGTTGAATGGATAAAAAAGGTGCTTTATTAATATTAGATTTGAACATTGATTTTATCCAATATAGTTTGTGTAATGTTGTGCGCTATCCAGGTTAATCGCTGTTTAATGTTCCTGGTAGCTGGCGCTCTAGGTTTAAACCTGCGCTTCTTATTCTTGTTTGTGTTTAGTCTGTCAATGATATCCTGCAGATCTAAATCACTGTCAGAATACCCTTCAACCCTGACACTTGAATGGCTCACTTGGTTAGAGCTTCATGCGGAAGCAGTGAGTATGCCGAGAGGTCGTGGGTTCGAATCCCACCTTCGCATCCATATTTTCCGCCTTTCTAACCTGGCATGTTACTCGGTATTTGCGCTTGCACGTTTAGGTGTGCTGCGGTGCGTCTGGCCGGTTTCTACCTTGAGTCTTGTTCGTCTCCCCCGTCTTGCGGCGCGGCCATTGCCATTCTTCCTTCTGTTTCTCCTCTTCTCTGGTGGGTTTTGATGCCGTTTTCATTACTGGTCCCCTCCCGTTAGCAGCTCCCCTCAACCTTTAAATTTAAAACATGCTTTTTCCCGCCGAATCACTGTTAGTCTTGCAATTTATGATCATACCGATTCCGCAGTTGACTACATTTGTAAATAAATAAAAACCAATATTAAGCTGAGCTAATAATAGACCTTTACAATACATAGCAAGAACACCATTCCAGACGACACCAAAGTAAACCAGGCATTAAGCTCTGCGTCCTCTCTTTCTCCAGGTCAAAAACGGCCAAGTTCCTCAAGATCTCCACCTTTTTTCGCTGTAGATTTCACCCAACAGTTAAAAACAAAGAAAATGACACTCTCTCCAACCTCTCAGCACCACCATCCACAAACATCAATTGATATCATCAACATTTCTACTGATTTTGGACCAACAACTCCTCCATCTGCCTCTCCAGAGAGTGAACAGCAACTTTCAACCTTTATGATTGAGGTTCGAAATCGCTTAGCTCGTCTAGAAACCGCCCATGTCGAAATTGAGCGGTTAAAAACAGCCCTGGCAGAGTCTGAAGCTGCTCGTCAGGCTCTCGAAGCCCAACTTGCAGCTGCTACTGGTACTGCAACTAGCCTGGCTCCCAAGCCATCATCATCTCGCCCACCTCCTGCTACTACCACCACCACAACAGCATCAGCATCAGTATCAACTACATGCACCAATGCTACCTCTGTCACTCCTTCGTCTCCAGGAAATCAATTGTCATTTGCTTCCGTTGTCGCATCTAATGTAGATGCAAAGCGTAAGAAAAAGCCTGCTGCTCGTCCACCTCCTCCTCCATCTGTCTCGAAAGCATCTGCTACTCTTGCTCGTCTTTTTGCTCCCCAAAGTGATATACCATATGGTTATCAATTTATTTACTTTGCTACTCCTGTCCGCCGTAGTCTTTCTGAGCTGCGTCGCCTTGTTCAAGGCGTAGTTTTGAATAACTCTCGTGTGCTGGATATTCAATATCCTGTACAGAATGTGATTTCTTTCCTTGTTCACAACGACTATGTTCTCACCGTCACCAAAGCCATGCATCTCCATGGTCGTGGCTGTTCTCCGTTGATTGACTTTGATCCATGTGATCCAATCAATCTCAAAGATCCCAAACTTGCTTCTCTCTCTCCTGATCTGCGTGTCCAAAAGGCCATTGAGGTCAAAAGCCTTCGCTCGTTGTCTTTTGTCCGTCGCTTTGTCCGTATTTCTGTTGCCCATTCTTTTCTCTTGTATGATCGCATCAACCAAGCCCAATTTAATGCCATTTTGAAAGAAGAAATGCTTGCTCGTTCCTCCTCCTCTGCTGCTGCTAAACCACGATCCCCATCCTCTGATCAAGAGCGTTTAGCCAAGAAACAACGTTTGAGTTATCTTGGCTACCTCTTGCATCATGATGCTGAAACTGCCTCTCTCTTGGCTTATGCTGTCTCCCCAACTCTCTCTGCTACCGAGGATCTTGAAATGTCAGAGTCTTCTGATAACTGATTGACACCTTGTTGTTGAAATCGTTTTGCTCTCTCATCCCCACTCTCATTGTTTCTGTTCCTGTTGCCTTTGTGGCAGTGTCTGTGTTCACTTTGTCCTCCTTCTCTGCTTCTTTCTCGTTTGGTCCTTGTTGTGGAATTTGAGGCTTGATAGACTAAAATTCACGGAAAAAAAAGAATAAAAAAAACAGTAATGTCAACTTGATAAAGGTATATTTTATTATCAAACTGACAGGTGTAAAGTAAACTGAAGTCTCTCTACTGGCCAGGTAGATGATCCTTCTTATATACTATAACAATGGATAAAAGTTCTATTAATTAGATTGACAAATAAGTCAACTCAGATCAACTAATGTCTAATCATGCTAAAAGACAACCCCAGCAAGCTAATCATGATTTAGCTCTGTCTGGATGAATAATTAGACTCTCATCCGAAGTACCCTGATCTATCCTTTCTATAAGGATAATTAATATCGATCTAGTAGCAAGTATCCGATAGGTACAGTCTACTTAGTCTATATTAATAGTACATATCTGAGTGTATATCGCTAAGCATACATCTTTAGCATGTATCTGGATATATGGCATGTCTATAGCATATCGTATGCATGTCTATAGCATGTCTCATATATAGTACAAGTCTGTAGTACATAAAGTATCTGTAGCTAGTATCACGGATATAAGCATGTGTCTTATAGCGTGGATCATGAAGTGCACATCTGAAGCAACAAGCTCATATTGCATTAATCTTGGTGCCTATCCAGATATGGTAAACATCCGTAGTCAATGTCGGAATACAAGTATAAGTCTATAGTGCCATCCATGTCCGTGGTGCCATCTATAGCCTATATCTTATATAGTATGAATCTTATAGTACTAGCGTATCTGAAGTCCATATCTTCTCATGATCATAGTATAAATCGATATCGTACATCTAATCCAGTGTACATACAGTTTATATCTAAATCTGGTAACTGGATGAACTGTCGGAATGCAGATCATAGTGGATGTATTCCACACTTGTCTCTCTACTCATTTTGCTATATGCAAATGCCTCGTTTTCTCCTTTTTTTTTCTGACTTTTTTTGTGCCACTGAGGTCTGTGGGTTTATTTTGTCTGTGCTGCTGTCTGAACATCGAGGTATCCTCAATTGCATGTCTCATACACCATAGCTTCCTATTCTCTACCCTTTTATCTCACTTGTTTTACTCCTTTTTCCTGCCAGTACTTTTTTTTTTACCAGTTTAATTTTTAGTTTAGGACCTATTCCTTTTTTGGGCACTTGCATGTCGCCCCTGCATGCTGTTCCTGCATGGAAATCAAACTATCGATTCAAGCTTTTTTGCTGTACATTGCTTCCCAGGGCTTGCAACTAATGATCCAAAGATCGCATGCATATAAGTCTATATTTTTTACATTGCTAATTCATTGTAATCAATAAACAACCATAAATTTTTGCCTGAACTAATAAAGCATGGATGCTTGTGTCAGATGCTAATACGTAGAGGTAGTATATTGTTTTGTTCAGGAATAAAGGGACCACTATAATTTGTAGGAAGAAGAAAGACTTACGTTTATTGATGTGGATGCTTGAATCTTTATACCATTGATATGGCGTTACACAACATTCCACCGCTGTCATAAGATATAGAACTTAAATAAGGACTTTGATATAGATGTATGAATGAAAATCGCGTTAAAAAACCTAATATAGGAAAAAGCTTGATAATGGGCAGAAGTTGATCAGTAAGATGGTTTCAGAAAAGACACATGGGTGTTTTTGTGTTTTTGACCTGTGGCATCATTGATTACATCGTATCTTGTGGTGGACAGGGCCTTCTGTATTGTGCAAGGACCTATCCAATCTACTTGTAGTTTTCTTGGATTGTTGCGAGTGGAAATACGATTGTTGAAAATGTATACTTTGTCATTGATTTCAAATTGTGGTGTTAGTTTTTGATTATCATATATTTTCTCCAAATGTTTGTGTACATGTTCAAATGTAACTTAAAGCTTGATTTGTAACTGTTTCGCGAAGTGTGATTCCGGGGTGTCTTGTTCATTGCATGAATCCGGTAATTTCTCTGGTGTTATCGTTGATAATGGTGTGCGTGCTGTGCGCCCGTGGACCAACTCAAATGGGGACGTCTTGATAGAATGGTGATACATATTGTTGTATACAAATCGAATTACCCTCAAATTGCTGCCCCATCTTGTAGATATCTGGTCGATTTCCGTGTATGATAAAATCATTATTCGTAGTGTTTTCATGAATCGCTCCACTATCCCGTTGGATGATGGATGATACGGCGGTGTGTATACAATGTTGATGTCTACATATCTTGCTACTTGCCGGGTGAATTATGATCCAAGGCTGTTTCCGTTATCACACATGATTATTTCGTTGGGAACGCCATGTCGCAATATAAACTGTGTGTACATGATGGAAGCCAATTCTTGTGATGCTGTTGACCTGGTAGGATATAGTTCTACATATTTTGTGAATGTGTCTATAACTACCAAAACGCATTGATGTCCCGCGCTTGACGTTGGCAGAGGACCAAAGTAGTAGTCGATTGCGACCTTGATGAACGGAGCTGTTCCATGGATAGTGGCCATATTATGATTAGCAGCAACATGTCCCTTGATTCTTTGACAAATTTGACACTTCTGAATATAGGCATTGATATCATGAGTCATGTTGATCCAGTACAGGTGCGCTTTTACCAAGGAAGCCTTGGTTTTGGCGATACCGCCATGTCCTGCAAACTTGGAGTCATGATGTTTGCTGATCAGATCCGCTACCAGATGGCTAGGTACCCTTATGTACATGTCTGTGGCTATGGTCTTGTGCTGTTTGTTTTCTACCTTGTATAGTATGCCATCAACGATTTTATGCTTGGTGTACTTGACATTCGTGTTGTTAAAGTATGGTCGTAACATGGGTTCCAGTCTTTGTTCCTTGGCCCAATTGATGTCCGGATGATAAGAGGCAATTGCAAGAATCGCAGCACGAGATAGTGTATCCGCAGCATGGTTCACATTTCCTGGTACGTATATAACCTTGAAATCATAAGTCTGTAGAAAGAGGCACCATCGCCAAAGTCTGGGTTGTTTGTCCGCATCGGTATTAAGAAACCACTGGAGGGATGAATGATCAGTGAATACGGTAAATTGGTTGCATTCAAGATACATCCTAAATTTCTTAACCCCAAAGATGATGGCCAAAGCTTCCAATTCACGGATGGAGTAGTTTTTTTCAAACTTCGTGACACTGCGGGATGCGAAGGAGAGAGGGTAAGGTGTGTCATCGTACCGTTGGCAGAGTATGACAGCAATGCCTGATGAGGTGGCAGCATCGCAATGCAGCTCGGATGGAAGTTTGAAATTGAATTGTTTCAAGTAAGGTAATGCAGCGAGAGACCTTTTGAGTTCTTGAAACGCGTGCTCCTGTTCAGATTCCCAAGCGAATGGTACATCTTTGATCTTCAAGCGTCGAATTGGTTCCACCATTACTTGATACTTGGATATAAACTTGGAATACACTCCTGCCATGCCGAGTAACAACCTTTCAACCTCTTTTATATTTGTGGGAGCCCGTAGATTATTGATAGGTGTAGCTTTATCCATGTCATCATGGACACCCTGATCAGAGACAATGATTTGATTTAGCCCAAATTGGCACTTTTCAATGTTGATGGTCAAATCGGCTTCCCTCAGTCTCGTTAGGAGTTTGCGTAACTGGAGCACATGATTGTCAAAGGTATCAGAGAACAGAATGGTGTCATCTTGATAAGCGATAGCAGTTCTGTATCTCATGTCCCCGAGTACCTGATCCATTAATAATTGAAAGTGTGCTGGGGCATTTTTCACCCCCATGGCCATCGTGTTAAAAACGTATGTAGAGTTAGGTGTTACCAGGGCTCTCTTGGGCTTGTCAGCAGCAGCAATGGGAATCTGAAAGTAGCCTGACAGGAGATCTATTTTTGAAAAATATTTTGCATTGCCCAGAGACTGAAGTGCATGATGGAGGCTGATAAGTGGATACTTGATAGTCTTTGTGATCGCATTTATTTTGACGTAGTGTCCGCATATGCGAAGAGAGCCGTTTGGCTTAGGGACCGCTGTTACTGGGAAGCCCCAATCCGTGAAGTTGACTTTACTAACAATTCCATTGCGTTCCAGTTCAGAGAGCTTGGCGTCGATCTTCAATTGTATGTCAGGATGGTAATGTCTTGGTCGAATGTAGATGGGAGGATGGTCTCCCGTGTCGATGGTGAATTCCATTTTGGTAGTAACCAAGGGCTTGTCCGAGTCTTTGCGTAGTAATTCTTTGAACTCTTGTAATACATCTTGTATCCGAGCATCTTGGGAATCGGTTAATTGGATGTCACAACGCCTTGTAGCCGTAGTCTCGTAATGTAAGTTTATAAGATGAATGTCAGTTTGTAGTGTGAACATTTTGAGTTTATTATTCATATTGACCTGAAATCTGCACATAAAATCCCAGCCGATGATAGCCTGACGAGCCAAACCGCGTATAACATGAAATTTCGTTTCATATCTAAGAAGATTCAATTTAGTAATACCCATCGTTTGTGCTGTATGATTGTTCACGTCTGTGTAACTGATGATCTTGTTTAGAATAACGAAATATAGACAGAGTAAATACAATTAGAACTGAATATATTTATTAAGTTATTCCAAGATTGAATGGGGATCAAAACTAGTGTAGATATCAAAGGTATTTATAGTTATTTGACAGTGCCGCAGCAATAGGACCTTGATCTTGAATGCGGGATAATTGTATAAGCCTTGAACCAGTAACGAGGATGTGCTGCATCAGAACTCATGAACCACCAGTCAAGGATAAACAACAAAGATGATCCAGGATAGAATGTTCTTCCTAATAGCTTTGACGGAAGAACATTTGTCGGAATTGAAACCCACTTCCAGGGACGAAAGGCCATAGGCTACCACTCTCTAGGAACCAGGATATAGATTAGCCATTTGATGGCACCACTCATGTTCCTTCGTGCTGCTTGAATAAAGACCTCTCACTTTTATTATGCATCTCAGCTCATTCTCAGATCCTTTTATGTAATATACAACGCCTAATACATTTGCCTCTCAGAGATGATCTATATCCTAAACAGTATATAAAGCTCGTAAACTACATTCTTGCTTCTAAATTAACAAATCTAAGCGACATTACACAATTTTCGTGTAGATCCACCATTTTTCCCAGTTCTATTGTTGTGCCAGAAGGGCTACAACTGTCTACAAAGATTAAGGTATTCTTGATGGGTAGATATTTCTGTGTCGTGCAACGACATGGACAAGCTATGATAATTAAAGTGCATTGCATCTCAACTATCTAAATGCTGAGATTCACCAGATGTGGTAAGCGTTGTACAAGACAAATTGCTACTTTGGCATTCAGAACTTGGTATAAATAGGATAACTCTTGTCTTCATCAATAAATCTTTAGTTTTTGTGTCTGATCTTATTCAAATAAGTCTTTTCTTGTTTTTGTAATATTAAACTTTTTTTATAAGCTACAAATTATAACCTTTTATTCTTCGTGCTTAACACATGGAAGAAGCTACTATCAACCCAGAAGAATCAAGCAACATTATACACATTAGACGATTGATGACTGATCGTACAATCTCCAGGCATAGTGGAAGAAACACTATTGATAATCGTTTGGTTGTTCCTCATAATCTTTATTTGGTCGCTAGATACAACGCACACATCAATATAGAGATTTGCAGCCAGGTCAACTCGGTCAAATAAATATACAAATATGTATACAATGGCCATGACAGAGCACAGGTATACATGGGTTCATCTGCTCAAGGTGATCACCAGAATGAGATCAAAAAGTTTCTTGATGCAAGAAATGTCTCGGCATCTGAAGCCTATTTGAGAATCATGTCTTTCCCTATGCATAAGGAATACCCCTCTACACAGCGTCTGGATATCCATTTGGAGGACATTAGAAGGGTGTGTAGTGAAACAGCCACCCAAACGCAACTTGATCGAAAACCGAAATTCATCAAATAGCACTCATTCAAATCCATGCTATTTGGATCTATTAATGAAAGCGCTCAAATGTACATCAACAACCATTTAAACATACTAAAGTGAAAATGCACGCTTATATCGCACATCGTGTGAATGAATCACTCCTGATCACAGTGTATTCAATCACACCCATGATGGTCGTAATAAGTGATGGTATCTTTATCCAAATAGAATCAAATCAATAACAAGCATATTTAAATATGACAACTATGCCCTGCTGCCATAGTTGCACAATATCCCAGATAAAGGATTCCATACTTCAATAACAAACATCACACTTTAAACCATCAAGGTTACATTGAATCATGCTATGACGGTAGCTCACCCAAGCCCATCAAGGTTACTCAAATCGACCCTTATGGCCACTGCTCTTGCATTGATTACCACTTTAAATCAAACGTCAACAACATTTGCTAGATATCGCAATAGCAGCACCTATTGCTCTCTAGCATCACTAATCCTACAAGCTAGTTGCAAATGTATAAATGCTCTTCTTTTTTTACTCAATTCCAGGATCTTCAATTCATTTTATACACAAATAAAATACAGTTGATTTCTATTGTATTTTATTATTGCTTTATTTTTTTTGTGAAATCTATTCAAACATGATTCACTGCAATAAATAGCCTAAGTAGTTGGCTATCAATGTTATGTCAAAATACAATTAATGTAAAACTGAATCTGCGAAAAAATTACACTTTTATTGTGAATGCATCCCAAGGATGCTTCTATATACTTTTTCATTATGCTAGGACTTACAGCATGATGATGAACTATAATACAAATAGGTTTACTATCTACCCAACAATTGATTTGTAAATCATGATTAGCATGATTTAACCAAAGGACCTAAAAATAGCCTAAAACCTTTAGTGTGAGATCTTGCTATAACATTTGATATAACAATCAGATGATATATTATGCGCTTTATTCACGTAATTAGTAAAAGAATGATAGCCTTATGAAAAGTGAAAAGTGGAATTTATTAAATTTTATAAAAAAGCTCAATATTTAGTTGGGCCATCTTTACTCTTGATAACCGCTTTAATTCGGCATGGCATTGTTGCGTACAAGTATGCATCTTAGGCTATAATGACTTTCTCCTTAAGCCACTTTTTACAGTGTAGCAACATAGATGATGTTTATCGTATCACATCACATCTATGTTTACAAGCTTAGTCAATTGTGTGTGCACGGATAACTCAGGAACTGCAATACATTAAACCTCCCCAATGTCAAGATGTCGAGATCCACCTACACTACATGAAACATATCAACTTAGGTGGTCTCTCAACAAGTTATACCAACAATCCATAAGGCCCCACCAGTGGCCTGCTATTTATATACCATCTCAACGTAGTAGTAGTCATTGACCAGGGATCTATCATATTTAAGAGGGTTAGATGCTCTGTAATAAAGAAGCTCTTTACTTTCGCTTTAGATACAGTTGACAACTGATTATTATCATCGACTTACTATTACAAATTCATCATATTCAGCTAAAAGTCTATATATCTAGATGTTTGATCATTACTGGCTACTAAACTAACAAATTCATAATAACAACGACAGGCTTATCATTACGCAATACCGTTATTACGGGGTAAAATGTGTTATTACTGTATTGAAATTGGGGTATCCCACTCAGTTCTATTGAAAAAAGCAAGTATATATGAAAACATACAACCATAGCCACTATATACCTCACCACATTGTCCTTTAACCCGTGTATCCACATCCTGTATCCAGTAAACCTATCTTACAAATGTGTTTCAGCATCTTGATGTTGGGAAAAAGCAGCAATGCTTGACATCTTTCATTAAATGTATGTTAGTTTATGTGTTTGAGAGATATATTTGATGCAAAGTTTACCTTATCATCTCGAGTGGAAGACATGACAACAATAAGCATAGAAGAATTGGAAGGGTGTAATCTATAGATGTAATAAAAAGATTAGCGAAAGCATGCAGTATCCAAAATTGAGATGAAATCACTAGATATATCTGATCAAACAACAACAATCCTTTTGAACAAATGAGTTATATCCACATTAAAGTCAAAGATGTATGTTGTTCAGAATCGGTATTATGGTTTAAAAGCGTATTTGTTGTAGAATTACCTTTAAATTAAAGTGAGGATCGATTCAGAGAGAGGAAGCAATTGTTTTAGCATCAAACCTACAAAATAGATGTTAAGCACAAAGAATAAAAGGTTATAATTTGTAGCTTATAAAAAAGTTTAATATTACAAAAACAAGAAAAGACTTATTTGAATAAGATCAGACACAAAAACTAAAGATTTATTGATGAAGACAAGAGTTATCCTATTTATACCAAGTTCTGAATGCCAAAGTAGCAATTTGTCTTGTACAACGCTTATCACATCTGGTGAACCTCAGCATTTAGATAGTTGAGATGCAATGCACTTTAATTATCATAGCTTGTCCATGTCGTTGCACGACACAGAAATATCTACCCATCAAGAATACCTTAATCTTTGTAGACAGTTGTAGCCCTTCTGGCACAACACTCTAGCATCAATATTTCAATATTCCATTTTGGACGGTCTCAACAACCTCGAAATCGAAACCACTTTTGTTAGGGTGTCTTTCTATCGCAGATAGTATCCCAACATCAAAGCCGCAAATGATACTACTGTAACTGTCTAACAGATTCATTGGGCTCATACAACCAATTCGCAAGGAGATTGTGAAATCAAATAAATCTATAGCCCTATGCATTTATGGCTGACGAAAAGGTATATTACTACTCCTTAAAGCATACAATGTTGCACTATAGTTTTCATCTGTTAGAAAGATTGTCTGGTGGTGGTGGGTTGTCCAGAATAATACAGTTATAGCAGCAACGCAAACACTGTGCTGAAGTAATATTTATTTTAAAGTTCTTCTTGCAGAAATATATTTAAAGGACATTCCTCACGTCGAACTATTATGCAATGGATGCTAGATTAAACGTTTTCACCTTAGCATACTCTTAAACAAAGAAGGCTTTAAATTGTATCTATATCGCTACCCTTTTATTAAAAATATAAACTCACTATAGATGACAGAACAATAGGAAATCAACTAGCTGTAACCCTTCGCTGCTTCAACCTCCTAGCCAATCAGATCGCTCGAAAACTCCGCTGACCTAAAAAAAAATTGCGAGGGTTTCCCCCTGTTTTGATGTGAGGCAAAATTTTAAGCTCCGCTATATAGCAATATAGCTGTTACTATCATCAAATTTCCCTCAGGTGCTAGAGCATGCCTTACTTACACCACCTAGCTTTAGATTCTGTCGTTGAGACTCTCAATCATCACTAAAGTAAGTAGTGATAACCAAGTGGAGGCAGCCTATCTGTGTCCTAGCCTCGGATAGAGTCTTGTTGAGCTTCAGCGATAGGCACATCCACACAACGTAAAAAAAGGTATGCTTCAAGGAAACATAATAATAATAAATGAAAGAAGAAAAGAACATACTACTATAGGAGTATAGTAGTAGGTAAGCAAAAATCAGATACTCTCACAAAGTGAGTACTTAAAGAAAAGTATAACAAATACAACATCCGAAACGTTCAAGACAGCTCGTTGTTGTTGCAACAAAAATGCATACATGAGCCACATGCATGGTAATAGTCGGATGTAAAGCAACACAACCAACAAAAGAAGAAAAACGCAACAAAACAAACATCATGGTAAAATGCTTTATCATGAAAAAGGAAGCAATAATAAAAACGTTCAAAGAAGTTTTATATCATTGCGACCAGAAGAAAAAAGATACTTACCACTTACTACAGCCACAGATAAACCAGAAGAGTATAGGCAATTACCGGAGACAGACCAAAGAACGAGTATGCACCAAATACAGTAGACCGGGAAAGACCAGATTAGCAGCAGCAACAGCAGCAGTAGTAGCAGCAAAACCAGTGCCATAGAGAAACTATAGAACGAACGCCATCAGCAGAGACCAGACAAAGACTAAAGAAGTTACTTACCACTTATCATCACCACAGATAGACCAGAGAATAAGCATACAACAATACAGTAGACCGGGAAAGACTAGATTATTAGCAGCAGCAACACCGGCACTATAGAAAAACCGAAGAATGAACAACACCAGAGACCAGACAAAAACCAAAGAAGCAGACAGCAGAGGTAGCAGAGAAGTAATGGCAGCAACATCCTCATCAAACAGTCAAAAAGAGTCATCAAAACCTAACAAAAACAATTCAATTAGTGCTAATTCTACGCCTTCCAATGCTCGTTATCGAATGGTACCTAGCATATTCCATTTGAAAGAAGCAGTATCAAGTTCTTCCAACAGTACAAGACAGAGCTATCGAAAGCTAGAGTGTTATTATCAATTAAACGGTTTCCAAAACGACCATGGTTTGATGCTAAACGCGTTTTGCAAAAAGGGAAAAAAAGGGGGTGTGGAAAAAATGAGGCAGCGCCCTATCCGACGTCACGGCCAGTAGATTTGGTCTCAGTCTTTTGCCGTGGCAGTCGTAACTGCGGCAATTTAATTTGAATTTGTGCAGTGGCTCTTTTCGTGTTCAAACTTGACCTGATCTGACATCTTTTAAACGTTTTTGCCAAATTTGACTATAAAAATGTCGTTGTTATACCCATCTTTCTAATACAGCTTTAAAGAACTAGAGAAGCCGCGTCGAATGGTGCTAATTACATTCAGCTTTTAGACAGAAAATAATGAGAAAATCGCAAAAATATGAAAACATGTTTTTTGCCAAAATGTCGAAATTTCACATACAAAAGTTTTATAGAAAGAGTTTTCAATGTTGCATTTCATCCTTACGATCAATTTGATCTAATATCTATCATAGGAAAAGTCTTCATTTTTGGGGCGAAAAACGCGATCGTTTGATTTTCAAGAATTTTCCCTTGCCAATACTCATGGAAAAACGATGATTTTCATGAATTTGCAATGACCCAAAGAATTGAGATAAAGCATCAGGAAGTAAAGCGTGGCTAAGAGAAAGCATGTGGTGCTACTCCAAGCGCTCAAAACGCTTTGTGGCATGAGTTATTCGTGCTTGAAAATGGCTAGATTTGAACAGAATTCGACCTAAAACGACGGCGTAGTGAGTTGCGTTGCCAGAAGAGTATAGTAAATTACATTTCTGTCTGATGACCTAGATACTCTGTACTGTACAAAGCGCAAGTCTTAAGTGATAGGTGCTTTTATTGTAATTCTAAGGCATAAATTTTTCGGTTTGAAATGCGTTATTACAGTAATTTGAAGATGATGTATCATTTCTAAACCGGATCTCCAAATGCATAGAAACAAGCAGTTCAAGCACCGATCACATCAGATCATAAACTTTGACCTGAAACAGGATTCAGTTACGATCCATATTATGGCATGTTCAGGATAATAGATTGGATCTATTATCCAATCACCCAAATCAACCCATCTAATACCTTATCTTCACATCAAACCCCTCAATTCGAATAGTATATAAACCCTGTTATTTCCAATGTAATAAACAATATTCTTTACCTGATTAATTTCATACTCTTTTTTATAAATAATTTATTCCTGATAAATCAGAAGACTTGAAGGTCAATGATATTTTACACACCTGAACCTAATCACTTTCTCGGATTGAACAAAACGCTCTTTAGGTCAGCAAGGCACTTTTGATGATCATCCACAACAGAGATGCCATATCTAGCCAGAAAACTAGTCTTAAAGTCTATCCACAATGTTAGAAACTCATGATTGATAAGGAAAAATGGCTTATAGTACTGGGCACGCTGAGCCGATGTCAGCACAATATGGGGAACAAGCAAGAAAATCATATATCAAAATTGGTTAAACAAGGATTCATGATACCTACAAATCCTGTGATAAAAGAGTCGACATCTGGCAACTGTATTGAAATCGGGTTTAAATAAATTTACAGAGCTACACTACCGAAAAGGCAAATAATTCAAAATCAATCGCTCAAACGCTAAATTTTGCTACAGTACTAGCGCATATAAGTTTTCTGTTGTGCGTCAACCAAAATTAGTCAATACACGCCATGGATTTATTCTATAGACTTGAGCACCATATGGACGCTTTTGTGCTATTGTTACTTAAGAAAGGCGTATTTTTGCCATGGTACACTTCAGATTTGGCAGCTAAAAAACCGATTTCTGAACGAAAGCATCGTAGTAGGTATCCAAACAAGGTCTCGTCTTGTAGAGCAAAATTTAGTTGATAGAAAAGAAGCCTGGTTGAATTGACATTCGTAATTGTACTAATAATAGTGTTGAAACACTGCTGGTTTCCTTTATACTGATTACTTGTAGCGACTGAAAACCCATTCATACGGTGGTGTTTAGCAGCCCCTCAATGTAGGCATATAATCGCTTTGAAATGAATATTTCCAACATCTACATGAGCCGCAAAAAAGCAATTCCCTCCTCCACTGTGCTAAAATGCGCTGCACAGCTGCTTCAAACCTTTGCCACACTACAGCGAAGCAAGATATCATTAAGCCGTTTTCAATTCATCATTTTGCAACGCGTCACCTATCAATACATTGTTTGTATTTAAGTGATCATATGTGGGAAGATGATAAAATTTGCGTTTAAAGTTGATTACAAACCACTATGAACAGCTTGCACCAGGAAAAAAGAAGCCAGTTTTCATCATGGTAGCAAGAAATTTCTTTGAAAAGCAGGTTTCCACTTAGTTGCCAAAATTTTTGTAGAATAGTTCTATCATGCAGTGATAACTGAATCTAGGCAGTATGAATATCATCGTTTATCTTAAAAAAAATCATCGGGAGCTGCTTCTGATGTCTCTTATCTAAAATAGAGTAAACGTAAATGTCATGGAGACAAATCTTTAAGCGCATAGCAGCATGAGAAAGCAGTGGATTTCTTACAGTAAGGAGGTGAAGAAGAAGGATCAACGTTGGATTACGCTATAGCGTTTTAATTACTAATACAGGTTCTTATCATCTGGGTCAGTGTATTTTACTAGGGATATATGTCAATATTATTAAACAAGATAACAATCCTAAATGATGAGTATATATGTTTTTGGATGAAATGTTTTTTTTTATTCATTTTAACGCATATTGGGATTAAGAGTTAATGGCTGTCAAATGAGAAGTATGGATAGGGTCAAAGTTTCTGAATCGAGTAAATTGTAGTACATATAATGTAAATCATCAAAGCATTAACAAGTAAAATCAACCAACGTGAAACAAACATTGTCTGATAACACGTTAGCTCAGAATGTTGCTCATTCCAGTATATGAAAGCTTTTGACACGCTATCTGCTAACTTGAAGTAGCAGAACAGGTCTTAAGAGTAGTTACGCGGCTCCATTTGCTATTCTTGACAGTCAATAGTCATGTTACCTTTATTCTTTGTTTAGCTGCACCCACGATGAATAATTTGATTTCACTACTCAGCGACATTATTCCTCTCAAGTGCAACACCACATGGAAGCACAAACGTGCCACTGCTAAGCAATGCAAGACACAGGTACTAACCTTGCATTAAGAAGTTTTCAGATCTTAGATTCAACGCAGATTTGCCACAATAAGCTTAAACAAACTACCACATCAACTCTAATAATATTTCTAATCTTACGTATACACGTACATTTCATAATAAACTATATTAAAGATATGCATTATAAAAATAGTTATAAACAGACTAGGCCATTATAATTGATTCGACGAGTATCACTCACGGCAAACATATTTTAAATGCTCAGCAATAGCAATGTGTGTAACAAAACATCAGTGACCACAACAATGTGAATCAATTTATATTTAAATTACATTTGATGCTTCTTATTGTGAGTTACCCAGGCCAAAGTAATAAAAGAAAAAGCATGCTTGCTTCCATTGTTTTTTTTTCCAAACGATTAATTCGGTGGTAACAACAAGCCATTCACATTATCTGAAGGATGGACAATAATGTAGTCAAAATTCCCCCTTTTAATGAATTTTCCCTTTATAAGTAATGATGCTATTGATGCAAGTTCCCGGTCCCTTCCATGAATAGAGAAGGGGAATATTGCGCGTTGTGAATGTGAGATGGAGGGAGGAAAGAATTGAAGGAGGAGGAGGAGGGGGGGGTATATGAGTTATTCATTATATAAATTAACAATTATTAGGGCTGCCAAACATGAACAATACCTTGTGCACCAGCTACGCCTGCAGCGATTGTCATCGTGTCTTCGTTTACAGCTAAACTAGTGACACAGTTTGCAGTTGGGTAGCTCTTCAATAATTCAGTTGTACCCTCAATGTTCCAAACCTTTACAGTAGAATCACCCCCACCTGTAACAATGATGCGACTGTCTGACATCCAGTGTAAACCGCCAATACCAATGCTTGAATCAGGGGCAATCAGTGATTGATCCACAAGCGTTTCTAAACAAAAGAGTTAGCAGCCAGCAAAACGAGACAGGTTCAACGTAACTTACGATCATGACTTAGCAGATGGAGACTTCTCTTGGCGTTTCTTACATCAAAGATGACAACTTCACTCTTTTCTTTTTCAGCGTTACCAGATGCGACATACCGTTCGCAAGGACTTATTGCGACGACGTTGACATCGGGGTGTCCCGAATAAAACTTGGAGACAATCTTGGGCTTTCTGCTGTCGTGAAGATGAATGAATCTGTCACCAGTCATATTGTCGAAGCGATTGTAGTTTCCAGATACAATGTATCTACCTGAGCTAGATACTGCAAGTGTAGAGACACAGCCATTCATAGAGTCGTACCTTGTATGGGGTTTTCCGCTACTGATGTCGTAGGTTTCTACCTAATATTAAGGTCAGCCAGCCACCATTGATAATACTTTCAATATCTTACATATCCAGGGCGATCCGCGTCTTTTGTATTGACTCCCAAGAACAGTACGCCATTTGTAGCATCGTGTCCGAATTCAATACAGTCCACATGGGGATCAGAGTAAAAACCAGAGCCCAAACCAGAGTCCAATTCACAGATAACACCAGAACCCGTTTTACCATTTTTGCTCAGTGTCCATACGGTTGCTGTGCCATCGTTAGAACAAGTGGCAAGCACGTTTTCATTTGTCGAATAGTTGACAGCCAACTGATTGATAGGCTTGCTGTGATAGCTGAGTGTTGAGACGTGTTTGCCGGTTTTTGCTCGCCAGATATTAGCACGACCATCATGCGACGATGAATAGATTAAGCTTTGGTCTTTTGACATTTTCACGTCAGTGACAGTTCTCCAGATTTCTATATGTTACGCGTGCTTAATAGCCTACATTCACGTCCATTACGCAGTGCACATACCTTGCCCAGTAGTTTCATGTAAAGTTTGATGCCCATTCAGTGATTTGCAATCATTTGTCTCGGAATCCCATAATCTCAGGTTACCTGGGACATTGTACTGAATGTTTTCATCACAGAGAGAACCCGCCGCAATTCGTACTCTAATAAAACGGACATACTTAGTCTCCAACTATCGTAGTGTTATGCGTTGTAAAAGTAATTTACCCTTTTGTGGGATCATTGAATATTGCCAGTGTGATAGCATCCCCACTGCCACCTTGGATTGTACTTTCCCTGCTCATATTTGCCCAATGTATGCTTCTCAAAGCATTACCGTTCAATGCACCAGTGCGAGTACGTTTTGATAATAACTGATATCGAGATCTTCCCTTCTTCTGAGCTAAAATACACCATGTCAATATGCTAGCATACTTCTTGCACACGTATAAATCATACCTTTGTGTTTTTTTACCATAATGACCTTGTCAAATAATTTGTATTGGCCGTCCTTTAGGTCAGAGTAGAAGCATTTACAATCCAAAGGTGTTCTGCCAGGAAGTAGAGTGGACACATACTGCCAAAATGCTTCCACATCCCTCGCAATCCTTGATCCTTTAAATTTGTATATACAATGTTCGATGATGGAGATTTCTTGCGTTGTGAATGGATAATGTAGAATATCGGCAGTATCTAACTGAGCCCAATCCTCCCATGTTGAATTATACCAGACACGGCTTGGAACGTACGGTGTATTGGGTTCTTGAGGGTGTAGTGTTGGTTGTACCTGTAAATCCATGCTTGATTTTTGTCTATAGTATACAACTGGCGATGAGTTTTCTGTATGTCGTCTGCTTCTGCGGGAGAAACGGTCATTTGTGCCCATCGAGCTGGTTACTGAAGGCGGCTCAGACACAGATTGAATGTACATCTCCATCATGCGAAGCAACTCCAACTTTTCCACATTGGCAGGTATAAAGGTATTTACAGTTGTAGATGGCATGGGTTCATCTACAGTTAATTGTGTCATCTAAAAGATGAATTGAAAGAAAAAACACAGGTTAGTTCAACAAACATAGTCTTCAAAAGGTTGTGATATACAACTTACTGTTTCGGTAATATTGAGCGCATTGTGAAGTTCCTCTTCCTTAACACTGTCTTCGTGAACAGAAATCCTTGAGAGCTGTTCAAAAGCAACATCAGATAATTCTGATAGAACAGAAAACGAATCATCCAGTTGTTCTTCAATCTGAGCGTCGCTTTGATCATTGATAACATTGTTATTTTGGGCATCGTTTAGATCCATAATTTGATCAGTGCTTAGTGCACTATTCTGATTATCAGCTGGATTGTCAACGGCCATCGCCTCACCACTCGTTTCCTCAGTGTTGGGATCCTCATTTACTGCGTAAGTGAACTCTCCAATCAATCCGCTGTTCAAACCGCCTTGTAGTCCAATTTTCAGTTCTTCAGTTGACCCAGTAACCATATCTTTGGTTGATCCAGTAATTATTTCCTTGTCTGGCTTACCGTTCACTTTGCTGCTCAGCTCTTGATTCAACTCTTGATCCAATTCGTTATTTACTTGTTGGTTTGACTCATTATTCGCTGCTTGATTCCAATTATCATTCAAGTCTTGGTTCGCATCGCTGTCCATTTCTTGATTCACTTCATGGATCACCTCTGGATTCATACCATCGTTCAGCACTTGGTTCAATTGATTATTTATTTCTTGGATCAATTGGCCATTCAACTCATCTTTCTTGTCCTCCTCTGAATAGCCAAAAAATTTCGTGAGGTTCTGTTGGAATGTTTCATCATCCATAGGTGGCTCGTTGTCACCGTAATCCTCATATTGAGCCATTGGTGATGAAGCAATGCTACTGACGATTGATTGCGTATGGTTGTTATCAAAAGATCCTTTTTTCAGGTTCGAGAATGGCTCTGGTGGGTCAATGATTTCTGCCATATCATCGTCTGAATCGTCAAGGGAGATTGGCGCATTTTGGCTGCCTTCTATCTTGCGTTGTTTGTTGGGTCGTGAGGAAGCTGATAAACTCACAGTTTGCGGCTCCTCGTCCATGGGTTGCCCTGCTGATTGCACTGGCTCCTCGTCATCCGAATTTTCTTCATCACTGCTCAGTATAATCACATTCTTGGCCTTCTCCTTGATAACATATCTGATGTATGATGGAACATTCGCACTGGTGTTGTTTGGTACAAATGTCTGGGCTGGTGTTTCTATACGTGTTTGATTGATAATCATTCTAGTTTCTCCGTGCTTGGAAAGTATTCTGGTAGGAATAAAGAGTCGACAACAATTTCTTTATGACTACTAGAAGCTGGATTCTTTAAACAAGAGAGAGAATATATATATATATATATATATATATATATATAAAAAAAAAAAAAAAAAAAAAAAAAACTTTTCAGATATGTAGAAAACAACAAGAAAAGAGCAAAACAAATTGGTTGCGACTCAAAGCATGCTGCCGGCGTTCTTGATTGGCAGCCAGACATTGTTTCTGGTTGGTCAGAAAGCTGTAAATCAGGTGAAGAGATGGAAGAGCAACGTTTATTGTTTGATTTATAAGAATGAATAGTAAAGGAAGAAACAATCAAATATATATATATACAACTATAGTAAAATAGACGCCATGTGTAGAATAGCTTTTATCTGGTCAGGGCATTGAATAACTTCATAAAATGTAATAATAGTAATAAAAATGATTTACCAAATGCAATCAATCATAGAAAGTATGTAAAATTAAGCATGTAAATAAGGGAGAGTATAACTTGTGGATGCAATTATGCCAGCAGAATAGGTTCGCCATAGTGTGGTTCAAGAGAAAAAAGGAGAGCGAAAGAGCCAAAGTGATGGAGAGGCCATAGATGATGATGTCGACTGTATTGATTTACATTAAAAGGAGGGCAAATGGAGACCAGAAATGAATGACGTTTTGCGAAAGAATTGTTGTATATCTAGAATTTTTTTGAGTTTATGCGTACATTGGACAATCTGAAGATGCATGTTTGGTTGAACCACAAAAGTAGCAGATCTTATTAGTCTTTGAGTGGCGTGTCTTGAAATCCATGGATCTCAAATGTTGACGATTTCTCGGTACCATTGAGTTAGATTCATTGTTGGCTTGTAGATGTTTTTGCTGAAGAATCATTTTATTGTGTTGAATATAGTGTATATACAAATTTACATGTAATAATCAATTGTGTTGATTATAATCAAAGGCTAATATTTGCAATGTTTAAATTGACGATAAATTGAGCTGTGAGAGAAGAAAGAGAAAAGAGAAGAAAGAAGAGAAAAAGAAGGCCAATGTCCAAGAAATGAGAGGACCCTTTTTATGTGCGAAAATATATATAATGAATCTAGCTGGTGTAACAGAACCATGGCGATGCAAACGATGGGTCGAGATCGGCAAATGGCTTTATACAATATATAATAATGAGGGCACACGTGGGACATGTCAGAACTACACGGCTTGTTGAATAATAAAGTTACACCTGGTGACGGGAACTGTGCAATTTCTTGTTTTGCTTTAATCCACTGAAATTGCTGGATTCGCTTGACGCCTAAACTAAACTTAGGAGCCAGTATAAGACAAAAACTTCAGAAAAGGAGAAAATAATGCACACGGCAAGATGATTGTTGTTTCTCTTCCATCTTAGAGTTCGAGACAGTTTCTCAAATCAAACATTACATGGCTTCATACATGTGTGATCTAGAGCAGTAATGAGCTGATATCCAGATATTGTTGTTGCTAGGCAACGAGCGAAAGCAATCAAATGTTGATAGGGGGGTTAGCAAAAGCAAATGGCTTTCCCATATCTACATACACCTCCTGACCATGACTCCCCTCTAACATCGTCATCATTAACGACATTATCAATACAACTGCCTCCAATTACACTTTCCCTCTATGAAATTCTGTTTTTTTTTATCCCTTGGTTATTCAAACCCTTTATCGAGATCATCTCCCTACATGTACATTTGAATGCTGAGTATTGCCTGACTGCTCGCACATTACTTCGTCTGTTAATGAATGAATAATTAAATAGAGATTACAGTAATACACAAAGAAATATACACATGAAAAAGGCTAACCAAAAACAAGCTTATTTTGTGAGACCCACTCTCGTCACAGAGTCATCACCCTTCTAAGTTGTGAAAAACCTATAGAAAAAAGCGCGTGTTTGAAAGATAAAAATAAGCTTGCACGAAACTTGTTGAGCTAAAAAGCACATTAGGGAAAACAAATAAGCAATTTCAGAAAATAAATACGGCCAAAATGCTTATTTGCGTGAGTTTGTCTCCACTAATGTGGTGAGACAACATCAGCAATCACTGTTGTAATATAATGGGATATTCTGCCCAAATATCGATCGCCTAGATTGAGTTCTCGGCCAAGCTAATCTATACTATCTGAGCAGGATGATTAAGCCACATACAAATGTTCATATCTATCAATATGCGCATGAGATCATTTCGCAATACCCGAATATGGTGATTTGTGATTTGTGTATATTTTAATGCCTTTGTTGAATGATTACTTATTGTGGCGCTTCTGGTAAAATACAAATGTGATACTCAGAAAGACCATAATGGTACATTATCATCACTGACATCAGACATCATTGATCACTGATGACTCTATTCCCTTTCAATTTTCATTTTACCAGATATTTGGTATCAAAAGCGAACAGTGCATCGTTGTGACAATCATAAAAATGGAATTTTAAATTTTTTCTTTCCATTGATATCCTTTTCATCTCTCGTCTCTTCCATTACAAGTATTCATCATCTTCACATATATACAAGTTATACATTAGTTATATATATGTACCCTTTAAATGAATAACGCTAGTCGAAACCGTAATCATCCTGATCATCAGCTTGAACAGCAAATACTAAAAACCGATTTATGTCATTCTGTAATCAACGATATACAGGAACTTGTGGTCCATTACGCTGCAGATTTTGACTTGGATTTCTTACCGACTAGCAGTGATTATAGCAGACCCAATGTTCCATTACTAGACGCAATATCAGAATTATTCAACAAAATTAGACTATTATTCAAAAAGAGCAACATTGATTTTGATAATCACTGGGTACGTTATCAGATGATACATCTTGAACGTTGTCATGGCAACTAAAAAACACCCTTTTTTTTAGAATTGGATCGTACCATGGAGACAGGCAATTTGTTTTGAAAGTTTGTCTGAGCTTGCTAATGATGATGTTAAAACGTTGATCACATCATTTCATCCAAAAAGTCATAACGCTCTGGTCGCTATATTTGATCATGGTTTAGAGGGATATATGCGCTGGTATCCATGGCGTTGGTTTTCGGATCTTGTCTTTTTGGGAGCAGGTGGATTTTCTGCGGTCTACGGTGCTGATGTGACACTACCTTACGATGCTCCAGAGAAGGGTAAACGATTTGGAACACAACGCAGAGCTGTTGCTCTGAAAATTGTAGATGACAAGATATTGAACGAAGTAAGTTAAACGTTTCGCAATGTTGATTTGACAATGGTGATTGAATGGCTGCGCAATAGATTACTGTACAATCAAAGGCGTTTGTTGCTCTTTTGTTTCATGGAATGACTGTATGTGAAAGCACTGGTGATCTGATGATGATTTTGACATTGGCTGAAGAGGGCAATTTGAATCGACAGATTCAGAAAGCTCACAAGACGAGCTTTGCAAAAATTGCGGATATTGTTACGCGACTTGCGTTCAACCTTGCGAGTCTTCATGACGATATTGGCATGTGTCATCGCAATATTCATTCAGAAAACATTTTGTGTGTTGATGAGGATTACTTTTTGGTGGATTTCAGATTCTCTACATCAGCAAATGAAGCGTCCGATGTAACAAAACAATCGCAAGTTCACTACGGTAAGTTCTGCTTAATTTGGAGAGCAGAATCGCGAGATTAATCAGCATAAACTACTTGTAGGTCGTGTGCCATACATTGCGCCAGAAGTGAAGAATGGCTTATATACTGAAAAATCAGACGTCTACAGCCTTGGTATTATAATGTGGCAATTAGTATCAGGTGTCATATTTCCATCGCCAGAAATCATTGCAAACAACCCAGATCTATACAGAATTGAATGGGTGCCAGGTGTATCTAGGTGGTATCAAGAGGTCACCATGGCTTGTTTAGAACCGTTTCCAGAGAATAGACCTACAGCAGAAGAGATTGGATTAATCATGCGAAAAATTGCATCAACAACAAGTAAAACAGCAATTGCTGATGAAGGTTGGAGGGCTTATGTGAATAGTAGACGTCAAAAATGTAGTGTACACATGCAACATTTTGTGTCGGAAGGTCCTTCCACTGCCTCTCGTGTATATACCCTTAGTGAATTCTCACAAACTAGCGACCTTTTACTCAAAAATGTGCCGTTTCATTATCGTTTGTTTGATGCTGACAGCATTGCGTTTAGTATCGAGTCAAATAAATAGTACACATTTGTTTAATTCCAATATCTGGTAATACAAATGGTTTCAATGATTGCAGTGTCCAATGTTGTGTATCTTCCATGGACATTGCTAAGATGTTTTTTTTTTGCAATATACCCTTGTACACATTAGATTGCTATTGACATGCAAACAGCTAAAAGCCATCATGATGTGGATCCGTTCTTAAACACATACACTATCACTGAGGGATTGTTCATTGGAGCAATCGGCGCTGTACCAATTTACATTCATGCGCTAAACAGATGAAGAGTTTACAGAGGAAATACATTGATTTTTTTATTGTACAAAAACGTGTTGAACTTTTTACAGAGATATGGAAAGGTGAAAGAGGGAATTATAAAATGTTGGTGTAAGTGTTGAACGTGCTTGATTAAACATATACAAGCAACCATCATAGAATGAAGTAAAAGGATAATGATTTAGATGGTAACAGTGGCATTGATCTTGGAAGCATCAAAACCGGGCATGGGGAAGCTGCGGGCGAACTCGATGACCTCCTTCTTCAATTGAGCAATTTCCTCATTACCTTCAAGAGCAGCAACAAAGTCCTTCATCAACTTTGAGCCAGACTTTTCTTGAACGTCCAAAGCAATTTGAACAGTTCTATGGAGGAATTCAGCAACCTTAACAAAGTCATCTTCCTTCAATGAGCGAGAGGTCAAGGCAGAGGCACCAAGACGAACACCACCGGGAGTGACAGCAGACTTATCACCAGCAATGGAGTTCTTGTTGATAGTAATGTGAACCATATCACAGATACGTTCAACCTTGGAACCAGTCAACTTTTGAGGCTTCAAATCCCAGAGAACCAAATGGTTGACAGTGGTACCAGTTGCCAACTTGTAACCGTAACCAGTAAGGGCTTCAGCGAGCTTCAAGGCGTTAGCACGAACTTGCTTGGCATATTGCTTGAATTCAGGAGAAGCAGCTTGCTTCAAGGCGACAGCAACAGCAGCAATAGTGTTGTTGTGGGGACCACCTTGACAAGAGGGGAAGACAGCTTGGTTGACACGAGCTTCGAGCTTGTCACCCTTGTCACGACGGAAGAAGATCAAACCAGCACGAGGACCACGGAGAGTTTTGTGGGTGGTGGTGGTAACGATATCACAGAAGTCGAAAGGAGACAAGGCTTCCTTACCGGCAATCAAACCAGAGATGTGAGCCATATCACACATGAGGTAAGCACCGTGTTGATCAGCAACCTTACGCATGGTATCGTATTCCCATTCAGCAGGGTAAGCAGAAGCACCACAGATCAACAATTGGGGACGGAAGAGAGCAGCATTCTCCTCGAGACGCTTGTAGTCAATCAAGCCAGTGGCGGGATCAACTTGATAGGGCATGGAAGCAAAGTAGATGGAAGAAGCAGAGATCTTCTTCTTGGCGGTTTGATAACCGTGAGTCAAATGACCACCAGAGGGAAGATCAAGACCCATGAGACGATCTTGAGGTTGGATCAAGGCGGTCAAGGCGGCAAAGTTGGCAGTGGAGCCAGAGTAGGGTTGAACATTGACACCCCATTGCTCAGGGTTCAAACCGAAAGCAGCTAAAGCACGCTTTTGACAGAGAAGTTCAAGCTCATCAATGAACTCATTACCACCATAGTAACGAGCACCGGGAAGACCTTCAGAGTATTTGTTGGTCAAAGCAGTACCGTTAGCTTCAATGACAGCTTGAGAAGTGAAGTTCTAAAAGGACAATCATGTCAATACAAGTTCAATTTCACCACGCGGCAGGGATCTTTCAATTAACTGCCATTTGCAATCCATGTCCAATCCACCAACGTAGAACTTACCTCAGAAGCAATAAGTTCCAAACCAGACCATTGTCTGAGCTTCTCGTTCTCAACGATATCGTAGATTTCCTTATCCTCTTGTTCAAGAGTAGTGTTAAGACAGGTGTTCCAAGGATCGGTAGGTCTGACGGACATTGTTGAGATAGTTGTTTCAAAGAAAAGGAGAATTGAAGTTGAAGAGAAAAAGAAAAAACAGAAGGATCCACGTTTGCTTTAAAATAGACATTTTTCAAGTGGCTTGCTTATTGATTTCATCGGGATCTCAAGTTGAAGCAAAGATGAAGATGAAAAGATGGATGATAACCCAATCAATTTTGAACAAAAAGACTTCAACATTTATCAAATAGAATGGAGATGGAGAGATTTTAATATGGCAAGACGAGTCATCGCACCAACTCAGCATGTTTTATTTGTTTAACATCAAACGACTGTGGTGCCTCGCTTTAAAATGTCAAGCTCGATACACTCGATAGCCTCAGATACCTTCTTGAACAAGTGATTTTCGCCAACGAGGTACAATAAACCTGATTTCTTAAACATGCCAAGAGGCTGCTCTCTTAATCTGACAAAGTAGACCTGCACTGATCTGCTTTTATAAGCTTCCACGACTTCGTAAAGAATCTGAATAGCACTATATCATATGTCAGATCACCATGGCAACTGTTTTTCTGATCTGAATTTACCTGGCGTCAATCGTAGGCATGGCTCCTACATCAAATATGGTATACAGAGACTCATCTCGACGGGGGCTCTCGGAAGGATGGATAGACATATCACCAAACATTTCCAAACGTCTTAATCTGTCTTTCAACTGACCTACAAAACAAGATTGATTTTAGCATGAATGAAGATATGACTCTTCTAGGAGATCTACCAACCTGTATTGGCGAAGAACAGAGCTTCCTCGATACGAACAATCAAAACGTCTTGTAAATGCTCAATTTCCGAGGGGTCATCTTGTACAGGCTTGAATTTGTTGACAGACCCTTTCACTCTACCCTATAATAGCGTTGAATTCATCAAAATTTTCAAGATGTGTGTCAGAGTGTTAGTCATAGCGTCTAGAGTCACACACATTTTGGAATTCCACCATCCCCTCCCTTCTTCCCCACACGCCACCAATCACTTTACAATGATAATGTCAATTGGTCCTTACCATAATTGAAATCCGAGGATAACTAGTTTCACGAATAGTAACAAGAAGGGACAAGGTCACTGCTAAAAGAGTGCCAAATTCAAGCGAAATGATGATGGTAGCGAAGAATGTAATGAGAAGCAAGCCCAAGTCTCTCCAGGCGCCAATCTTGAAGATGAAATGTAGATCCTCAGGGAGCTCTGAAAGGAGGGAGAGCACAGCGACGAAAATGATGGATGAGAGCACGGCTTTGGGCAGATAATGAAAGTAAGGCAAGAGGAATAAGATAGCCAAAAGCGCAATGACGCCAGTGACGAGGCAAGCCATTTGAGTGCGAGCACCAGCCTTGTCATTGATCTTGCTTCGAGATACCTAGCATTTTTTCAATATTTATATAGCCATCGCGCAGATGAGTCGATATGATGCTTACCGATCCAAAAGCTGGAATCCCCTGAAATAAACCACTGCATATATTTGCTACTCCTAATGCCACCAATTCTCTATTGGCACTTACCGAGTAATTATGACGACTAGAGTAGATTTTGGCAATGACAATCGACTCGACGAAACCAATAACGGAAATCATAGCTGAGGTCACTAGGAGGTCCTTCATGTGCTTACTTGGAGGGAAAGAGGGGATTGATGGAAGAGGGATACCAGCACTTTCAATCTTGCCTAATATAGCCAATCCTTTACGCTCCCAACCAAAATGATGTGTTAACAGGATAGACCCCACTACGACCAGCAAGACATCTGGAAACAGTTGAAACCACTTTTTGGATTGGCCGTACTTTGATTTGATAATACGCATCGTCAACAGGATACCAACAGAGATGATGGATACAGCAGAGGAAAGACCATGTGCATATTTGATATTCGTAAATAGAAAATATAAGCGTTCGATCGTGGTCGAAGCTTCTGAAATGCCCCATGCTCTACTACGTTCAACCAAACCTAGCAATGTAATACCTTGTTGCACCATGACCACCAGCGCTACACCACTGATGAAACCACGCAAGAGTGCTCTACTCATGAGACTATCCAGAAATCCAAGTCGGAAGATGCCGAGCAGCAATGTAAATATTCCAACAAAGAATGTCATGAGGCAGGCCCAAGCTAAAGGATCAATTTCGTAGTCATCAGAGTGTTTTAGATGTTCTTGTTGTGCGATGGATGACCCGATTAGCAAGGCCAATGTTGCTTCAGGCCCAACTGACATTTGTCTACATGGATATGCATCATGTATATAAATAACTCGGGCACCTCGTAGTGTGGTCATGAATGTTTACCTTGACATCCCAAAGAAGGCATATGAAATGGCCGGAAAAGCAATACCATACAGACCATGGATCGCGTCCAGCTTGCACAGTGCAGTTGCATAAGACAAGCCCTGAGGAATCAATAAACAGGCAAGCGTAATTCCTGCTAAGCAATCACCCAAAAACAGCTGTCTGTTGTATAATGGCAGCCATTGCAAGATGGGAAGATAGTATTTTGAACGGATTTTCAAGGTGCTCCAAGCTCCTTTGGGAGTCTCTTGACTGAGTCTAGCAGAAGGTACTATAACCATGTAAATGTCGCTATTCTACATCATCAAGCCAGAAAACTTACGAGGCGATGCAGTGAGGTAACGAGGAACAGCATCTTCTGCGGTCAATAACGCTTGAGTCTCTGCAGTGGAGGCATTTGGAGGAAGATGGTGAATTTCGTCGTCGTCAGTGTCTTCTAAATGAAAGGAACGGGTACCTAATGTCCCACATTTGGGTAAAAATCAGGAGTATATAACAGAGTCTTGAGCTGAAAATACTTACTAGGGGTGTCATTCGGTTGAAACATGCTGAAGTCTAGAATGTCCTAATGATAATGATAGAAGGAAAAAGAGCTTTTTTCATGATTTGCATCTTTTTATATGGAAGCAAAAAAAAAAAAAAAAAAAAAAAAAAAAATAGAGAGAGAGAGAGAAAATAAAACTATCATGCAGAAATTATTAAAAAATCAAATCGGATTCTTCTTTTGATGCTTGCATACACATCCTGTGGCCGTTTACATACCTGCTGCTGCTTCAATCGAAACTATTTCTTGGAGAGGTCTATGGCTCTTGCTGTTTTGTTTGTAAAAAGAGTGAGGAGGGCTGCCTTCATACATATTTCAAGGGGTTGATATGGTTTGTATTCAGGTAAAGAAGCTCTCCTAATCTAAAAGTGGATACGTTTTATTGAGTGGTTTCTAACCATACAACCTTCTTCTCGCAATGATTGTCTACTGCTCACATCAAATGATGGTATTCTCCGGCTCAAAGAATGGCCTGAAAGAAAATCTGATTTCAGGTACCTAATTTGACATTTTATGCACAGGTGGGATTCTTTTCTATGAAGCTCAGCAAAGGCTCCCCGAAACAATGCGTAAAAAGAAAGTGCCAGAAGACTGATTTTGATATTTGATGATTGGACCGGTTGAGCATCCCGTAATTACGAAGGCTTGCGTAATGCATTTTGAAACGAAACTTTCCTTTTATAGCCTTCCATCTGCGCGGTGCTTTTATGTTGGATGGTATAAATACAACCAGAATTTCGCATTACCCCAGTTTTCATCTCGTCCTGTTCGAAAAAATACAACTATAACAACTACAAAATGACTGCTCTCATTATCCCCTCTGAATACGGTTATGTAAGTTGCTACATTTTCGCTTAATTGATGTGGGCAGTATCCTAATTCAGTTGCATTGAATAGGTTCTTGGTGTCGCTGTCGCCAGTGCCCTCTACGTTTTCTCTTTAGCTCCCAAGGTTGGTGCCGCTCGTAGAGCTGCCAAGGTTCCTTATCCCTATGGTAAGTTGTTACTTCCTCTCTTCCACTTATGTGTGGAGCGAGACAATGCGTGTTTGTGTGGACACAATTGACTAATCTGTCAATTTAGCTTACGCTGAAAAGAGTGAAGCTGAGAAGGATCCCAAGAAGAATATTTTCAATTGTACTCAACGTGCTCACCAAAACACTCTTGAGATCCTCCCTGTCTACAACACACTGTTGTTGGTTGGTGGTCTTAAATATCCTGAAATCTCTGCCGCTGCTGGTGTCGTCTTCCTTTTGGGCCGTATCGTCTTTACCAGTGGTTATGTTACTGGTGACCCTGCCAAACGTACTCGTGGTGCTTTTGGTTTCCTTGGACTCATTGCTCTTCTTGGTACATCTGCTGCCACCGTCTACAGCCTTATCAAGAACTAAATGACATTTTTTTCTATTAATCTCGTCTCTTTTTCTTTGCTTACTATTGTAATATATATCTCATAACCTTTTTTCAGCTTAAAATTTCATCATTTATGTAAAATTTTCCCGCCCATTGTGCGAATCTTTGGCTTGAAGTTACAAATAAATCTTTTTGTTGCAAATCATTCCATTTTTGTATTCTCTTTCGACAGACTTATTTATAGCTAACAGAGCCTGATACATCACTATCAAGAATGTCGCATTGACAATTCAATTGTCCACGTAAATATAAAGTTTGCATAATTTTGTTTCAATTGAATGTCAAGGCATATCGCAAACATCATCATCTCATCATACCACAGCCACGTGAAAACCCTCCATGATCGATTTCTAATTGTGGATCCGACTCTTTGGCAACAATCCACGTCTGCAGCAATGGAAACACTTTACATACAGGCAGCTTACATACTTACATTGTCTCTTATTACTCAAATGTAGGCAAACCACAGCTTATTTTGAGAGCATTTGAGCCGTGTTTTCTCGTGTTCAAAACCGTTTTAGACTGCCATAATAGCGCCAAACAATTGCTTTCATCTAGCATTTGCTTGCTAGCACTTTTGCTCAACTTTTTGGGGACAAAAAAATCATTGCCAAAAATTGACCAAAAAGCACGAGGGGTAACCTCATGGTTTTCATCAAAAATCAAACAATCGCGTTTTTGGCTGCAAAAATGAAGACTTCTACTAAGGTATATATTAGATCAAAAGGTTTCTACAGACTCAAAGCAACCCCTGAAACTTTGTTTCTGAGGTCTTTATATGTGAAATCTCGACATTTTCGCCGAAAACCCATTTGAAATTTAGGTAAATTACTCGATAAGCTTGTTCAAAACCTTTTGTATAGTTAGCACCCTTGGATGCGTCTTGAAAAGTACCTTTAGAAAGCTTAAGGGACTATGGGATGAGCAGCACGATTTACATAGTCGAATCCTTCAAAAAGAAAGAATCAAGTCGAAAAAAAATCAAATCTGGCCAATCTGACGAGAAATATGTTAGGCGAAGATTTAATATAATTTTGGCTCGTAAAATGCTTTCTGATGAAAGCAATCGATGCCTGAAGCTATTTACGAAGACATCTAAAGTAAAATGTACGTTAGCTTAACCTGAATACACTATTTTGCTTTGGTGTGCAGTTATATTCTTGGTAGCGCTCAATGTCTCTAATATGGTCTTTAAAAGTGCCCAGCAGTTATGCAAATGTGCCTGGGCGTCCCACAAGAAGAAAAGCATCAAATAATCTTGGACTAACCTATTGGAAAGCGAACAGAAAAGGCAAGTACTACACCCAATCGTATCTAGAGTATCTAAGATAGATATTAGCACTAAATTCCATCCTTTAATTCATTTAATAGCGTGTAAATGTCCAAAACAATTAGTTTTCCTTCTTGACGTCGTCAACAAGCTTTATTTCGACGCATCGATGATTATTTCTTTTGTCACAAAAAGTTTCTTCAAGGCAGTCTGCATCAATGTTGCAAGGATACCTGACATGAGCTTATACTACAGTGCTGACCAAGACCAGAAGACCCAGAACAGCGAATGTGGATTGATAGAAAGCAGCAATTTTCCTTTTAAAAACGTATTGTAGATGGGAGAATTACTGCTCGTTGTATTTGACAATAATTCTTCTTTTCCAATGTCAAGTAGAATTCTCCACCACATGGTCAATGTAGCACTACTGCTGAAGCAAGACTTTGCCAACTATAATGCTAGTATGGAGGGTAAGTATACCCAGTACTCGCTTCTGTACGTTAGAGGCGAATAGATCAGAACTCGGTCATACGCTCACAAGAGGGTATAAAGGAAAGTGATTGCTGTTGCATGATGAGCTACTTTTTCAAGCTGTTTTGTATAATACCGATCCATTTACCACATTTTCTCAAGGAAACTGCACGCTCAATCAAGTACTGTTGAATAAATCTTGAGATCTGTAATACAGTACAAATTGCAAATATATGCTTTGATGTGGTGGTTATAGAGAGAAAATGTTGAATGTTTTATGCTTGGTTATTTATTATGTAGATTGAGAGGGGGCTATTTTTTCTTGGCTTCTATAAACGTCTATCAGGAGAATCTTCACAATCTTTCACAATGGCAACAATGACACTAATGTCATCTGCCTTTCCTCCCTATCATTTGTGTCAATGCCAATCACTTGCTATTGCTAAACAATTATCTTACCTGGTAATACAGGCCTTCATTGACGGCACGCACTTGGAACGGGCTATCCACATTCAATTTAGAGTTGCTTACTGCTTTTGCACGTTCTGCTAATGCATCAGATATCTTTTGTGGCTCTATTGACAACATTCGAGGAGGTCGATTCCCTGAACCAGGCAATGTAAATGCTGATAACTGGGATTTCACAATCGACAGGATCTCTCTATCAAACAAATTATCGAACAAACCATCTGAGCCCATAATGATAATGTCTCCCTTTTCCACTGCAACAGTAAAAGACTAGTAGAAATCGATGAACAATACCGATCAGTTGCATACGAACAGACTAAACGAACCTGAGCATCTTTGGGTCTATCTGGAGAGCTTGTACCCAATTGATATGGGAAATTGAATGAATGTTGCTGTTCTTCGCTTCTGAATATATAGTCGTTGTGTCTTATCACTGAAATACCGCAATCACCCAGATTCGCAATTCGTAATTCTTCATGTCGTAGGATGGCTAAACAGGCAGTACAGGAGCCAATGATGCCTTCTTGTTGAGCCTCTTGCATGCTTTCTTCATAGCTCTTTTGTAATATACTCACAGGATCTGCTTCATCATAATGATAAAAGCAAGGATCATCCACATTATCGAATCTTTCCAATTCAAGGTAGGCATGATGCATTAATTTTCTAGAATAAAGTGCAGCATTCGCCGCTGATCCATGCAAATAATTTTAGTCATTATGCTGTGAAGCCCTCTCCCTACATCAGTTTACCTGATACACCTTGCCATCCTCCTACTCCATCAGCTACACCAATGGCATCTGAACGTCTGAAATATGCATCTTCACCTATCTGTATACTGTAATAATGCTCGTTTCGATTCCTGTTCGAATCCGGGGTTGTGTAACGTTGCCTTTTTGCAAATCCTGAAGCACCATGAGCAAAGATATAGGAGGGAACTGGTTTTGCATAAGACTTTGAAAAGAAGTTTAGCAAGGGTAGCGACTTGTGGTTTTGTGGGTCGTGTGGGTGCTCATCGTGGAATGCCAGTGCATTGCTCTGATGACAAGAGATGGAGCTACTGCTAAGAAAACGTTTTTGTTTGTAGCGTGAAGAAGGCTGGTTGTAAATAGGGTAATAATGCGCTGCTGTTGCCACTGCCATGTTTCTAATCTGCTCTCTGTTCAATGGATTCTGATTTGCATTGCTGTTGAGATCTACAGCATGAGGATGAGTTGTAGTAGTAGGAGTGTCATTTAGAGGTGTCGATGCTGCTGGCGAAGAGAGATAAGGTCGAATGGTTGTAATGGTGGGGAGCGATTGCTGGTATAAGAGAGATTGCTGATGCTGAGACAATTGGTGCTTTGCAGCAGAGCTAATTGATAACCAGGCTTTTGATTTCATTTCAGAAAGAGGTAACCAAGGAAATTGTGCAAATGTATATATAATAAGAGTGTGAGTGTGTGTGAAAGAGCAGCAAAAAAAAAAAAAAGAATATTGCAGTGCTTATAATTTGAATCAAATTGGCTACTGGTACTGTTTAGTGGCCCGATGCGTATTTCCTTTTGCAGTGCTTTAGCCTCATCCTCCCAGCCAGGTCTCCTCTACCCAACCCATACCTTCAACTCCTGGCTTCCCTCCTGGTCTTGCATTTCATGTACGTGGACAATTAATTAGTCGAGTGGTATAGATCTATATTTACTTGCAAGCGTTTGTATCAAGAGATGGCAAGGATACCATTGTGCCTTTCGAATGAGAAGAAAGCCTTTAAAATTTCCTATTTTCGAACAGTAATCAATCTCACACTTCTTATATATCCTCGTATTCTTTTGTTTTGAGACGGAATATGCACAGAGCATTGCTCTATCAATAATCGAATCTTCCGAAACAAGCTTTTATACTGTATACTGAGCGAAATGGCAAGCGAGGATGATTACAGATCAAGATGATGGGCCGTATAATCTAGACCAGCAGTAATGTAGTGAGAATGCAGTATAAGCAGTAGAGCTTCCAGAGTATCCAAAAGTATGGTAATGATCACAGTACCTACTCCTTTTGCAGAGGGCGCCGCAGCATGGACCTGGTTACTACATTACTCATCATCACATTCGCATACCTTTCCATTGACATCCATCTCGCTCATCGTAACAATCAGTAAAGAGCTATCATTGCTTACTCTACGTATGGATGTAGTTTGATGTATAGTGTTCGCTCGCAAAGTTCTACAGGCTGTCGAATCAATCCTGAAAAACTGCAAAATATCCAGTCTAGTTCCAAATGTGAACCAGCTTTCCTTTTCCCTTTCTTTGTATCCTTTACTGCGGCTTTCAGCACAATACATTACAGACACAATACTGTGTTTTTCATGATGAAAATGATATATTTTATTATGAATTAATAATAAAGAGTTTGTAAGTGCATTTATTGACGAGCTTCGAGCTTCTCGGCCTTCTTGTTGGCGCGACGTTCACGGAGAGCCTTGTTCTTGGCACGGAGGACATCAGCTTGCTCAGCAAGAGTCTTAGCACGGACCTTCTCAGCCTTAGCCTTGTGGATGTGTTCCATCAAAACACGCTTGTTCTTGAAACCGTTACCCTTGGACTTGAGGTAAAGGTGGTGATACAAGTGCTTGTCAATCTTACCAGCTTCTCTGTACTTGGCAAGAAGACGACGGAGAACACGCATACGACGCATCCAAATGACTTGGCTACGCATACGGGCATCAGCAGTACCCTTTCTCTTACCATGACCCATATGACGACCGTTACGCTTGGCAGCAGCACGTTCGAGGACACGGAAACGAGATTGAGAGATTTCAGGCTTGCGGATGATGAGACCATCCTTTACGAGCTTACGAATGTTGGCACGGGAGTTGGCATTGGAGATTTCGTTGACCTCATTGGGATCCAACCAGATCTTGCGTTGTCCACACTTGAGGACAGAGGCGGCCAAACGCTTTTGAACGAGCAAGCTTACCCTACAATGATGATGGATGAGTATATTGATTCCAAATCAAAAAAAAAAAATTTTTCATTGATTTCTTGTCCGGATGCTGCCCGGTAGATGGATTACTTACATTTTAGAAAAATCAAAAAGTTGGAAAAGAGATAGAACTAGATAGCCTATGCTCTGAAGGCCAAATTACATTTGAAAAAAGGTCGTCATTGACATTTCCAAGCACATCATTGGCTATTCGCATCATTCTGTTACTCAAAACGAGGTTTGCATCCACCTATCCATCCATCCATCTCATTGGATCATCCGGTTTTACATGTGTTTTATTAGGGGAGAGAAGGTTATTCTGTGGTATCTTGTTCTTGTTGCTCCTGCGTGTTGGTATTTGATAGCTTCTCAATCACTGAATATGTGTCGCAGCAAATGGTCGAGCAGAATCGATATAGTACAGGGATATGGTGATTGCCAAGCACATTTCTCCATACAATTTCCTCAACATCAGGCGAGTGGAATAGTAGTCGACAGTTTTCGCAATTATTTACATGAGAAACGGATTTGAATCGGCTAACGATATCAGCTGGTATAATATTGGTGCTGTCTGCTATCAGATTGGGTAATTCTTTGAGCAACTTTCTTGTCGAAATCTCGACTAATGATCGAATGGCTGTGGATTTGATGCGCTGTCGATGCGATAGGTCATTCGGTAAAGAGATATATGGGTTCGGAAAGAGAGATAGCGTGGATAATCTATTTAAACGTAGTATCTCTGCCGGTATTTGTTTCTAACCAACACATGATCCAAGATACCCGTCAGTATCTGTTGATTTACATCATAATCCCCAATACATACCAGCTGGTTGTTGCCCAGAGAGAGCTCTACTAGATTCTCGAGTAACGCAATCTCTGGTGGAATTGCTGTTAGACGATTGTTTCCTATACACAGTTTCATTTAGAATTGACGCAGACCGTTCACATGTATCAATTCAGCACTTACTCAGACTGAGTACTGTCAGGTTCCTCAACCTGAATAACACCGGATTGATAGACTGCAGCTCGTTGTTGTATAGATAGACTTGCAGTGAGGCTGCTTTGACTATATCATTGTGGAGCACTGTAACATACTGAAGCTCCCCTATTTCATCCGGTATTTCAGTTAGACCTATATTGCTGATAAAATGTAAATAAACGAGAGAGACCAGAGATGCATTCACACAAATATGTACCTCATGTCTGCTTCATCGACTCCGTTATCGATTGTTGCATCAATAGCTCGACGCACTTTATCAAATGGTGTTTCTGTGCTCAATTTCCTTCGAAACAATTCTCTTGTGTTTATATCCCAGCTGAGCGAATTCATGCGTACTCGTTTTCTGTCTTCAGCATCGCTTTCCTGGTCGTTCTCTAGTGAATGAAACCCGCTTTCACCACTGCTGCTCTGGCTACTTAAACTACTGGCACTGAATACTTCATTATCTGCTTTTAAAAAGTAGTTTTTGATCGATGGTGCAATAGGAAATTGTTCTTGACGAGGAAACTGTGGCAAATAATCTTCGTCTTCCGAAGCATCGGTGTCATTCCAGTCGACTGGATCATAGGTGCCATTTTGAAGAGACGAATAGAGCATTGGTAGAAAAAAAAAGAGAGAGAAAAGAGAAAAGAGAAAGAAAGAGAAATAAAAAAAAAAAAAAAGTCATGGCATATTTTATGTAAAAAAAAAAGAGCCCAAGCTTATATGAATGATTAGGGTTTTGGACATGCCCAAACTAGGCAGACTTGTGCCAGCATGATTGGAGCACCGAAGCCAGAGGCCAGGAGCTCACTGCAGCAGACTTTATTATCAAACTATGGCAGGATTCTATTACCAACCAAGAGAAGCAATGCTACTGTACATTGCTTGTGCTATCTTCTCATGTATTGCAGTTGTAGGGTGCAAATTGTTCCACCAAATCATGCTACATTGAAAGTATTTCAGCTACATGTTGCATGTAATCATGTACTTATAACGCTTACTCTCCGCAATCAGCTCTTCCTCCGCAATCCATTTTTGCGTTTCTCTGCAATTCCTTTTGACTGAATGCTGTTTCCAATAACTGGTATGTGTCAAAATATGAGGCATTGACGTCCCGATGCTCGGTCTTGAATTGGTTTAATAGTTCAACGAGTGCTGCATTGTAGTATTTGACAAGCCTATTGAATGCTTTCTTTGTGTCAGAAGGCTTATCATGATACAATGGTGTGATGTCCAATGGTATTAATCCCAGTAGTATAATATATTTGGCACCCACATCATACAGTCGTTGCTGTTGTATATGTAAAGCTACATAAGTATGCCTGATGACACCCTACATTATAAAACTCACCATATCATTGCTGATGGAAGCAGCTATACTATCGACCATGGACCGTCTAGCCAAGTCATCATCCTCTTCCTCGAATAAGAGCCTTACATCATTGACGCCAGTCCACAAGACATGCAAAGCCGTATCCTTTGGCTCTTTGGCAACATTTGAAGCAAGATAGCGGTTAATTTGATGAGTCATATCGATCGAGCCTGGATGAGCAACCAAATCCTGTAGGATTGTTTGAGTATGATGCACATTCAAGTCCAAAAAATACAAGTTACGTTGTTTGCAGTAGCACCTGATTGAGCAAAATCATACAAAGATGCATCGTTCATCCATTTAGATAGATACTCGACCCACATTATGCCATTGGTAGACCGTTTGATCTGTACTGTTAATGTTAGAGAGGCAAGATGTATAGGCAGAGTGCATAGCATTTACCGTTGAAATTGTATCTGGATGCAAGCTGGTAGAAGCATCAGCATCGAATTGAATTGATCAATCATGTCTAAACTTACTCTGCCTCGTCAAAATCCACATCATTGGCGGCATAGAATTTCTTCAGGGAGCCATTTGCAGTGTAAGAGTCTCCAAAAGCAAAAATAGTGTTGAATTTTGATATGGATCGTTTTAGATAGCTCTTATACGGCACCACACTCGCTTGCACAAGAACTGTATTGTAAATCAAGCAGCACAACAAAAACGATCGCATTGCTTGTGTATGTATTTTGCAGAATCCAAGAATGAATAGGAAAAAGGAAAAAAAGGAGGGCATTTATTATACAACAGCATGATACAATCTAACGCGGAACGAGTTCTCATCAGACCTATTTTCAGTTGTTTCTCCTAGTTTGTCTTATAGATGTGGTATTACCTGCATTTCATATACCTCCTGTTTCTTGATAATCCCCTATTTTTTAACGACGTTTCCATTCCACAATGCCTCAGAGGAGGAGAGAGTAACATTTTGACTATCCTTGGTATAATAGACAAGCTGAGTGTATACAGCAAGATGCTAAATGCACGAAATAACGTTCTTTATTATTATTTAAGTCTTGCTTATAACATTAATGGATTATATAACAAATACAATGACAGTTTTGTTTGTTTGATTTTTATAACTTGTCTGACACGATGAACAAGAAACAGGGCTTAGAGACCAGAAGCAACGCTGTTTACAACAGGTAAACCACCAGCGAGGTTAGTAACACCGTCAGTGGGCAACCCGCCCTTGGTCACTCCTCCTGCGAGACTAGTAACTTCATCTGTGGGTAAGCCAGCACCAGTAACACCGCTTGCAAGGCCAGCTACTTGATCTGTAGGCAAGCCACCAGTAGTTGCACCAGTGGCGAGACCCGTAACTGTATCGAGAGGCAAGCCTGAAGCAAGGCCTTTAGTAGCAGGTAAGCCTCCTGCCAGTAATTCAGAGGCAGGCAAACCTTTAGCAACACCACCGAGAGCACCAGTGACAGCTTCAGTAGGAAGGCCAGAGTTTTTCTCTTCCTCTTTTTCAGCAGCACCAGCACTTCCAGTAGCGGTACCAATAGTACCCTTGGCCTTATTCTTGGCTTTACCAGCAGGAGCAGGAGGAAAATCTTCGTCACCTTCATTTTCTTCGGCTTCATTCTCTGAACGACGATAGAGTCTAGCAATGCTAGCTGCATCGCTATAGTTGACGGTTTCTCTGTGAACAACGGCGCCTCTATAATTGATGGCATCGTTGGTCAACGGCGAAGGAGCAGGAGCAGCGAATGAAACATTGGCAAGAGCAAGAGCAGCAACAATTAGTAATGTGAAGCGCATTTTGGTGATTTATGATTGTAGTTTGATATGCGATTTAGATAAAGAAGAGCGAAAATAAAGATGGGTGAATACTTACTGCTTATATAGTAATCCTTGCTAGAGAATTGAGAAAGATGTTAGACAGTCAATACCCATAATACATTGGATGCATGTACATGTGTATCAGATATCCCGTATTTTTGCAAGAAAAGGATGTTTAGCTCTGCTTCTTTTTTTTTCTAGTTGAAGATAGGAGTAGAAAGAGATCTACAAGCTTGGAAAATATCGACACTTCTAAAAGCACTTTATAGTACCTTTTGCATACAAGCTATGTGATCTGCCCCCCCCCCCCTGAAGATCTCAAGCCTTTAAAGTTCATGTCAGTAAACAAAACTTGCCAAAGAAGTTTTTTGTGCTCATCAATTTGAAACAGCTAAAGACAAAACCATTTCAAAAGTTAATTGCTTATCACGGAAATGCTGTATCGCGCGCCATTTTGTGTAGACACCACTCTTTTTTTGAATAGCCATGCAACGTTCCTTAAATTATGCACTGTTAATCTAGAAAGTAGGTAACACTCACTCTGCGTTTTTGGACCGTCCACGCGATCCTTTTTTGGGCTAAAACCAAGACAACTTGAGGAGGTTGTTCTTGATATCTATCTTTGCGTTACATATTGCGCAATCTTGTATGCAAATCAAATGTAGATTAGGGCGCAGATACCTGATATGTGCGCTTGAACGAACCACCTGCTTTTCAAATGCATTCGAATCATTGTTAGCCCAGGCATTGGGATGTTTGTAAGCAGTAGAGTGCCTTTTGTACAATACAGCATCTACTGTTTCATCTTCGCTTAGTGGTGTTATATTTGAGTGTTTGCACTGGACTGATATATGAATACAAGCTTATTGGAGAGTAATCGTCAATTATATTGAGGATGTAGAAGACATGTATGCAAATTGCATTAGCCTAATGCAAGCAATGCAACCCAAAGTGTGTCTGTTTCAAAGGTATTTCATTATGGCACGTACACTCTATTCATAAATTCAGTTGGCAAGTATTGAACAGAAACCGGCAGCATTGTTTTAATATAAGATGGATGTCTTTCTACAAGATAAGAGGTGTACAATAGTACTCAATAGTAAAATTGCATCTCCAATCAATTTATCGATTTTCATAGTACTTTTTTTGTTGATCACTCAAATATTCTTGAAAATCTGCGCTTTCTTTTGTTTCAACTTTCCTGGTTCCTGATTATACATTGACAATGCTTGGTAGCCAGAAACCGTCTATGAACAAACATCTCTCAGTATCGCAGCTGTTAAAGAAGTAGCGAACTTGATGCGTGAGATGTATTCAAACAATTTCAGTGAGAGAGCCCTAGTCATCTAATCTAAATCTAGTCATATCCTTTCGAAATTTAATAGTATTGAGAGCCAGAACAAAGGTGGATAAAGCCACACCGGCGAAGCCAGCAATGGGGAGGGGGTTTGGGGGAGGGGCTCAGTCCCTCCACCAAGAACATAACAATGCATCTAATTCAACACTTGATGACATTGATTGATAGGGGAGGTTTACCTTAGCGAAGCAAAGGTGTAAAGCCTATGGCAACCAAGCATCTAATCCAACATTAGGTGGCATTGAGATATAGGGGGTTTTACCGTCGCAAATCAAAAGTGCAAAGCCATGGTAATCAGGCATCTAATCCAACACTTGGTAAACATTGATCTATATGAGGGCTTGATTGTAGCGAAGAGAATATGCAAAACCATAGTAAATAGTAGTAAGCAGCAATTTCAAGTTTTTATTTCAATTGTTAATAAGCTTACTAGCAACATAATGTATCAAAATTTGCATGAATTAGCTTTACCGAAATCAATATGCCTCCTGTTCGAATTAGAAGCTGCACAGGCTACAGAACTGCCCTTCCAGAAGACTTCAGCTACCAAAGATGTGGTTCATGCCGTGTAAATAAAAACCATAAAGCAAAACATAACCAAATTGGATAGTTTCCAAGTCTTTATATCTTGAAATATAGGCCTTTCTGAGCCACCGGAATAACGCCAAACAATTGTACTTGAGTAGTAGTAACATCCTGACACCTTTGCTCAACTTTTTGGGCCAAAAAAAAACATGGCCAAAAATCGACCAAAAAGCATGAGGTACCCCTCATGCTTTTCATCAAAAATCAAACGATCGCTTTTTTCACCATGAAAATGAAGACTTTTACTATGGTATATATCACATCAAAATGTTTCTCTCGATCCAAAGCAACCTCTGAAGCCACTTTTATGAGGTCTTCATATGCAAAATATGATTATTTTCGCTAAAAACCTCATTTCATATTTTACCAAATTGCTCAATAATTCCAGTCAAAACACTTATTACTGTTAGCACCATCAGAAGCGCCTTGAAAAGTACTTCAAGAATGTATTAGGAACCGTAGGGTGATAACCACAGTTTATATAGTCGAATGTCATAAAATAGATTAAAGAAGTCGAAGAAGCACAAAATCTGTCCAATCTTGAACAGAAAAAATAAACTGAGCTTGAATTGATTTTGGCGGCGGCATTGCTGCTGGCTGGCCTAAACGCCTTTTCTGTTGATGACAATGAATGATTGCGATACTGATTAAATGGGGATCATGGAATTGAAAGGACAATTGTTTAGCGCAAATACATTTTTCGGGGAGCTTTGCCTCATGAAGATGTCTTTTGCAATGGCAATGTCTCAGAAAAAAAGTCGCTGTAGATCTTACGCAAGTCCTGTATTTTCTTATGACCAGCTTTATGTCGCCATCTTATTAAGAGCATCAGCAGCAGCGAATGATATGACAGTTCTATTATCAGAAAATGGAGATTGTGGTTTATAAATGCTGCATAAAACTTGAATCTTCTTTCACTGCGTCTCAATAATAGGCTTCGTTTGATATCAGTGTAAGCAAAAAGGGTGCCAAGGGAGATACTTCCTCTCCTTCTCCTGGTTCTGTCATAATCTTTTACTAATAATTGATTGCTTAAAATCTGCTTGATATACTTTAAAATGTCTTTGGCGAGAGCTATCAGGGCGATGCAAACATCGAGTGTAGCGAGATAGATTGGCTAGTAAATTCTATAACTGCAAAAGAATTGACGCAGAGGTATTCAAACTGTCATGAATCAGTGGATTGTTCTCATCAGAAAGCATTTTACCAGCCAAAATTATATTAAATCTTCGCCTAACATATTTCTCGTCAGATTGGCCAGATTTGATTTTTTTTCGACTTGATTCTTTCTTTTTGAAGGATTCGACTATGTAAATCGTGCTGCTCATCCCATAGTCCCTTAAGCTTTCTAATACTTTTCAAGACGCATCCAATGGTGCTAACTATACAAAAGGTTTTGAACAAGCTTATCGAGTAATTTACCTAAATTTCAAATGGGTTTTCGGCGAAAATGTCGAGATTTCACATATAAAGACCTCAGAAACAAAGTTTCAGGGGTTGCTTTGAGTCTGTAGAAACCTTTTGATCTAATATATACCTTAGTAGAAGTCTTCATTTTTGCAGCCAAAAACGCGATTGTTTGATTTTTGATGAAAACCATGAGGTTACCCCTCGTGCTTTTTGGTCAATTTTTGGCAATGATTTTTTTGTCCCCAAAAAGTTGAGCAAAAGTGCTAGCAAGCAAATGCTAGATGAAAGCAATTGTTTGGCGCTATTATGGCAGTCTAAAACGGTTTTGAACACGAGAAAACACGGCTCAAATGCTCTCAAAATAAGCTGTGGTTTGCCTACATTTGAGTAATAAGAGACAATGTAAGTATGTAAGCTGCCTGTATGTGAAGTGTTTCCAATGCTGCAGACGTGGATTGTTATCAAAGAGTCGGAATCACAGGTATCGAAGGTTTTCGTGTGATTGTGGGAAGCCAAGGTGAAGCGTACAGTATTTCAATAAGATGAGCAAGAATTCTTCGCGTATTTTGGCCCTCACCCAAGTAAAGCAAAGGTAGAGAGTAATTCAAAGCGCAGAAGCACTCGTTACCAACACATAAAGATCGCGAGAGAGCATAATTTTCTCAATACACAAAATCACAGCATGAAAATTTCTGCACACCTATACATAGTGAAAGGACTGTCACTTGCCATTGTGAAAGCTTTATAAAAAGTTTAGCAAAATAAAACACGTTTTGCCTTTTCTTTCTTCATTCCATTATCATCATGTCGTCCAGCAGCGAAAAGAAGGAACTCATTGGACCTGCAGAAGAGGAAATCAGAACACTTTTATCTCAATCAGGCGATCCATTGGAGGCTATTCGTGCTATACAAAAAGACTATGGACTTGATCTTGCTGGCATTGACGATATGTATCCATTGCTGGATCTCTGTGGCTACAGTCGTTTGGAGATACATGGCACTTGTCTGGACGCTTTGAATAAAGCGACTGTGCATCACATTGAACAGCCTACATTTCAGCTTGAAAAGTAAAATAGACACATACGACTGGATTTGCAAGCATCAATCACTAACGCTCCATCTCCCTCCCCCCCCCTTCTGTATAGCTTTTATGATTTATTCGAAAAGACGTTCAAGTACATCCATATTCCTCTTATGCAACCTATTCCTATGGCATTGTTAAAGAAGTTTGAACGTCATATTGGAGAGGACATCATCGACAAGCTTAAGAGCGATTTAGCGGTGTTTGAGAACTGTCCGTTGAATATCAAGCAACGTATTTGGAAGCAGGATGAGTCTTTCTTTCAGCAGACTATGATCTCTTTATTGAACGATTACCATCACGATGAGGCATTGCAGCTATTGGCATTGGACTTGAGACCTGACAATTACCAAGAAATGATTGAAGAAAGGTAAAATGCTGCTGAGCATGTTATTGGCTTTGTCACTGAACGATTTGCATTGGTAGACGCACACATCCCATCGTCCTCAAAGTTATGGACACCATCAGCCAGGACCCAGAAATCTACAAAATGTTTATGCAGATGATTCGCATCGTATTCGCAGCTACACCGTATCCCAGTTTGTGCTCCTTGCGTGTCGATGTATTGATGAATTTCCATGACTTGGACTGTGACCCTGTATGTAATCAAACTCTTGCGCTAATAAGATGTATTTACATTTAGTAACCCATAGATTCTGAGAATCGACAAGTGTCATCAGCTCATTTGGTCTCTTGATAGTTGTGTGCGAAACCAAAACATGGACGAGACAATCATTGAAAAGATCAAAGAATGCTTTGATAATGTCAAGAATGGATCTATACTTTATGCGTAATGTATACTTTTGCTGGCCATCATTCAAAGACGTGTACTAATCATGTCTTTTGTTAACAGGGACTTTGCCATGGTGTTGATGGACCCAATGATTTCAAACTTTTTAGCATCGACTATTGTCAAATGGCTAAGATACAATGTGGAGGACAGTACACAGCAAGAAGATTTAGAAGACTTGACAAACTACAATGGCAAATTGCTCAATCTAGCAGAACATGCACCCTACGCCATTGCCAATGCCGCAAAAATCCCCAAATTAGACAAGGATTTGAAAGAGAGTTACTGGAGTGCTATTTGCTCGCTCATGCTGGAGGAAGGAAACGACGTTACAATGCCAATGGGAGAGAAGCCAGCATCCATTATCCTGCCGCTACTGCGTCGCAGCGATATTGCCCGAAAGGTGTTTGTTCACTACCTCGTGGACCGCACATTTGAAGGTGATGTAAAGACGTTGACTCGCTGCTTACCGCTCATATTGGAAACATGGCCAGCACCTGACTTTGAGGAGGAAGGCATCATCTACAGACAAACCTACTTGAGCTTCATAAAGACAATGATGGATATTCTGATCAAGCGCAACTTGTATGACTGCATTGCTGATATCAAATGGAGACAGGCAGTCGTGGAAGGATTTCTGTTGAAGGTGGTTGCCTGGGATTGCAGAATCCATGAACAGATGATTCGCTTCCTGGCAGAGTACTTTTTAGATCCAAAGATCTTGGTCAAGCTGGGGCCTCAGGTTGGCATCATTGTCGAATGGGCAGATACAATTGTAGTGAATGGATTGAAGGATGACAAGGTAAGTGCTCTCGCAATCACAGCCTACGCCATACTCACCCCATGTTTAGCACATGAAGGCACTCAAGGATCTCTACGCCTTTCTATTATCGAGATCCAACAGTATACTCAATGGCGACTACAGAATTAGCCCACCATCCGTCATTCAGTTTGTCTCTTCTTGATTTCCCCTTTTTGCTCTCCGCGAAATATGTTGTATAAAAATCTTTTTCTCTCTCTCTCTCTTCCAATTCACTTTTTACTTTTCTCTTTAAACTAATAAATTATGCCTGCTATTACTCCAGCACAATTATCACTATTACAGCACAATACCAAAAACATTCGAAATATCTGCATCCTGGCACATGTGGACCATGGAAAGACCACCCTGTCTGATTCGCTGTTAGCAACCAACGGCATCATTTCATCGAAAATGGCAGGCAAAGTCAGATACTTAGATTCTCGTGAAGATGAGCAGGAAAGAGGCATTACCATGGAGTCCAGTGCTATTAGTTTGTATTTCAAGCTTGTCAAATCTGTCAGCAATGAAGGTAATGGATTCAATGCATCATAACCGCAGCAGCAAAATGTTGACATCGCGATAGAGGCGCAGCCAAAGACAGTAGAAAGTGAATACCTCATCAATTTGATCGATTCGCCCGGTCATGTTGATTTCTCCTCTGAAGTGTCTACCGCTTCCCGATTATGTGATGGCGGTCTTGTCCTGATTGATGTTGTAGAAGGTGTTTGTACCCAGGTAGATGTCACTGTCACTCTCTGCTTGCTTGGATCCAATCTGAAATTTATGCATATTTTAGACAGTCTCCGTGTTGAGACAAGCATGGATCGATAAGGTGAGACCTGTCCTTGTATTCAATAAGATGGATCGATTGATTGTAGAGCTACAAATGACGCCACATGAAGCTTATACTCATATCAACAAGATCTTGGAGCAAGTGAACGCTGTGATGGCCACGTTTTTCACGGGTGATTTGATGGAGAGCGAAGCCCGAAAGATGACAGATGAGAGCAAGGAGGAGGACGAGGAATTCGACGCCAATAAAGTGTATGACTGGAGTGTAGAAGATAGAGATGATTCAGATATCTACTTTGATCCAGCTAGAGGCAATGTCATTTTTTCCAGTGCTGTAGACGGATGGGCCTTTAGGTAAGTTTGTCTCTGCAAGGCTCAAGTGCTTTCACGTACTTATGGGGTATGCTAGAGTGCAACAATTTGCTTCGCTGTACGCAAAGAAGCTTGGATTCAAGGAGTCTGTCTTGCAGAAATGCTTGTGGGGTGAATACTACTTTGATCCCAAGGCCAAGCGAGTGATTTTACCGAAGCATTTGAAGGGAAGAAACTTGAAGCCCATGTTTGTTCAGTTTGTGCTTGAGAATATTTGGGCTGTTTATGGTAGTGTTGTGATTGAACCGTAAGTATAGGTTCAAGTTTATGCTGAATGAGCATGGTACTAAGACGTATGTAGCGATCGTGAGCGAGTTGAAAAGATTGTCGGTGCCTTGAAGATCAAAGTCCTACCTAGAGATTTGCGTTCTCGTGATCCTCAAATCTTGCTGTCCGCCATTTTCTCTCAATGGCTTCCTTTGTCCACATGTGTCTTGCTCGCCATTATCGGTCAACTGCCTCCTCCTATCGATGCCCAAAGAGTACGCTTGCCCAAAATGCTGTATCCTAATATCCACCGCAAAGACAATGATCCTCTGGAGCCCACCAATGCTGTTGAAAAAGCCCTTTACAACTGTGATATCTCTCCTGAGGCTCCTGTTGTTGCCTATGTTAGCAAGATGTTTGCCGTTCCCGTCGAGTTTTTGCCTGAAAATCGTCGTACTCAAATGACCGCTGAGGAAATGCGTGAGCGGGGTAGACAACAGCGTGAATTACGTGCTGCTCAAGCTGCTGCAGACAAGTCAGGTGAAGGCATTCCATTAGATCAAGTCAATGCTCTCCCGTTACAGGCTGAAGCCGCCGAAGAAGAACCAGAAGAAGAAGCTGCTGAAGAACTCAAGGGTGAAAGCTTGATTGGTTTTGCTCGTCTTTACAGTGGCTCTATTCGAGTTGGACAAAAGCTCTATGTCATGGGTCCCAAGTATGATCCTAAATACCCCAAGAAGCACATTTCTGAAATCACTGTGCAAAGCCTCTATTTGATCATGGGCAGAGACCTTGAATCATTGGAAGAAGTCTGTGCTGGTAATGTTTTTGGCATTGGTGGATTGGAGGGTCATATTCTCAAAAACGGAACACTGGCAAGCACTCTTGAAGATGTTCGTAATATGGCTGGCGTCAAGATGGAGACCTCGCCTATTGTTCGTGTCGCTCTGGAACCCGAGGATCCCACTCAAATGGATAAATTAGTAGAGGGCCTTCGTCTCCTGAATCAAGCAGATCCCTGTGTCGAAGTCATGCTGCAAGAAACTGGTGAGCACGTTATTCTGACAGCTGGTGAATTGCATCTCGAACGATGTCTGCGTGACCTGAAGGAACGTTTTGCCAAGATTGAAATTCATGCGTCAGAACCTATTGTTCCTTTCAGAGAAAGCATCGTTCGTGCTGAACTGTCTACCAACAAGGAGAAGGATGGTGTCATGGTGCCTCGTGGTCAAGCAGAGATCAAGCTGAGCAGCAAGTTCTTGACGCTCAAGGTGCAAACAGTGCCTCTGCCCAACCGTGTTACTGAATTTCTGACCAAGCATGCTGCTTCTATCAAGGCTGTCGTGGAAGAAAAACTGGCTAAAAAGACCAACAAGGAAGAGGAAGAGGAGACGGGCGATGCTGCTCCGCTTGGCACCAGTCAACTCTTGTCTGCGTCAGAATTGGAGCAATTACTGAAGGAAGAGTTCGAACAAGCAAAGAAGGAAGGTGGTCCATTTGCTTCTTTATGGGACAATGTGGTGGATCAGATCTGGGCTTTTGGTCCTCGTCGTATTGGTTCTAATCTGTTGATTAATCGTATTCCTGGCTATGTGAGAAAGCCCTTCTTCCAAGTAGACTCCAAGAAGAGTGCTGATGTTGCTGGTGATCATGCAGATGAAGTCCTTAAAGTGGAAGACGAGGATGCTAGTGCCCTTTCTATCTTGGACTTTGATTTCCACATCCATACTGGATTCCAATTGACCACGTTGACAGGTCCTTTGTGTGCTGAACCCATGACCGGTGTATGTTACATTGTGCAAGGTGTAGAGTTCCACTCCGAAGAGATGGTATCTTCCAGTGGAGAAACGATCGATGGTAAGGAAATGATTCACGCTGTATTTAAAATGAAATAGCTTACATGGTAGCTAGTGCGTGGTCGTCTTCCTGTCATTCAGGGGCATGTCATTGCTGCCACTAAAGAAGCGTGTCGTCAAGGTTTTCTTGACTGGTCTCCTCGCCTTTTGTTGGCAATGTATACCTGTGATATCCAAGCCAATGCTGAAGTCTTGGGCCGTGTCTACGGTGTTATTTCCAAGAGAAAGGGTAAGATTATATCTGAAGACTTGAAGGACGGCACCTCATTCTGGCAAATCAATGCTTTACTGCCTGTTATTGAAAGTTTCGGTTTCTCTGATGGTAAGTGCTGCTAAACTGGTTTATGTGGAATTTTATCAACGTAGTTTGTCTTTAGAAATCCGTAAGAGAACCTCCGGTGCTGCCAGTCCTCAACTAGTGTTTAGTGGATTTGAAATGTTAGATGAAGATCCATTCTGGGTCCCCACTACAGAAGAAGAATTGGAAGATTTGGGTGAAAAGGCCGATAAAGAGAATTTAGCCAGAAAGTACATGGATACAGTTAGAAAGAGAAAGGTAGCGTAGTGCTCTATGTTGATGATTTTCCTTGATCTAACAACCTGTTATTCAATGTAGGGTATGTTTGTGGAGAAGAAGCTTGTCGAGCATGCAGAAAAGCAAAGAACTTTAAAGAAGAATTAGATATAATTAGTTTTTAAAGAATAAAGCAAATATTAGTTGTTGGCTATTAGGTTTTTCCTACTCAAGTTATGCTCGAGTGTATGGTGCCTGAATTGTAATGCTACAGGATCAAAGTAGGAACAGCTTGTTCTTCTGTATCACATGCAGAAAGCCAGATACTGTGCCTGGTTGTCTTTCTTATTGTTGAATCTTGAATTTCGGTTGGATCTGTAGCTCCTGAAGGGAAAATGCTTTACCAACTCATGCATTAGAGTGTGCATCTAATATATATACTGCAAAACATTCAAAAAAAAAAGTAGACAAGCAAACCATATCTTTTCAAAATTTTGTAGTATTGAGAGCCGGGACAAAGGTGAATAAAACCACTGGCGAAGCCGGCAATGGGGAGGGATTTAGTCCCTCTACCAAGAACATAATAATGCATCTAATCCAATATTGGGTAGCATTGATATATAGGTGGGTTTTATCGTAGCGAAGCAAAAGTGCAAAGCCATGGTAACCAGGCATCTAATCCAATACTTGATAGCATTGACCTATATGAGGGCTTGATCGCAACGAAGCGAAGGCTCAAAACCATAGTATTCAGCAGCAAATTCGATTTCTCATTCTTTAAATGAATAATTGATTGTTTGAAATCTACTTAAATAGCAGATTTTTATTATTACTGATTTGAAATCTCTACGGCGACAGCCCACAGGGCGGCATTGTCGTCGAGCGTAGCGAGATTGCATCTAATTCAACATTTGATAATATTAGTCTTGATAAGTTTTACCGTAGCCGAACAAAGGTGTAAAACCATAGTATTCAAGCAGCAAATTCGGTTTTTAATTTCTATTGTTAATAAGCTTACCAACAACATATCGCATCAAAATTTGCATGAATCAGCTTTACCGAAATCAATATGCCTCCTGTTCGAATTAGAAGCTGCACAGGCTACAGAACTGCCCTTCCAGAAGACTTCAGCTACCAAAGATGTGGTTCATGCCGTGTAAATAAAAACCATAAAGCAAAACATAACCAAATTGGATAGTTTCCAAGTCTTTATATCTTGAAATATAGGCCTTTCTGAGCCACCGGAATAACGCCAAACAATTGTACTTGAGTAGTAGTAACATCCTGACACCTTTGCTCAACTTTTTGGGCCAAAAAAAAAAACATGGCCAAAAATCGAACAAAAAGCATGAGGTACCCCTCATGCTTTTCATCAAAAATCAAACGATCGCTTTTTTCACCGTGAAAATGAAGACTTTTACTATGGTATATATCACATCAAAATGTTTCTCTCGATCCAAAGCAACCTCTGAAGCCACTTTTATGAGGTCTTCATATGCAAAATATGATTATTTTCGCTAAAAACCTCATTTCATATTTTACCAAATTGCTCAATAATTCCAGTCAAAACACTTATTACTGTTAGCACCGTCAGAAGCGCCTTGAAAAGTACTTCAAGAATGTATTAGGAACCGTAGGGTGATAACCACAGTTTATATAGTCGAATGTCATAAAACAGATTAAAGAAGTCGAAGAAGCACAAAATCTGTCCAATCTTGAACAGAAAAAATAAACTGAGCTTGAATTGGCGACGCCGACATCATGCGTAGCGAGATAGACTGGCTAGTTTATTGTATACGAATTAATAAAAGATGCTTGGTTGTTTATGATAAAGATATGGGGCTCTAAATATAATGATTGCACTAAATAAAAGTAATGGCACGGCTATTCTATAGTAATGTCGGGTGGGTATCTATTCGCTTGGTTGATTTGCTGTCTAATTTTGATTTTGTGAATCATTCTACAATAATCAGCATCGTTTGGTAAGTCGTTGGCAGATATAATTTTATCCTTGATGCCATATACTCTTTCAATGTACCAGCGAGTTAAGCTCCCAACCAATTCAAAATCCTTGCCCAAAGTCAACGTCGGATCCAGCTTTTCACTCGAAATAAAAAGTTTCTCATTTGTCAATGAGCCAGGGCATATAGTCGACTTTCCTGTTGTTAGATGTTAGTTTCTGTGGTGCCAATTCAGAAAGCCATGCTGGCACTAACCTGAAATGAACAACAACCAAGCATCATACCAATCTTTATCGACAATGTGCGTATTAGAATATCTGAATTGAGCTTGGTATAAGCTTAACTCAATGCTTTGTCTTCCCTTTTGGATACAAGCTTGCAATACATCACTATCTTTTGCTGGATCAAATGTTGCAATCTCTTGTACAAGCTTCTTCATAAAGTAGTGTTCAGTTTTTAAGCCTTGATTTACATGGCTAGCAAAGCCATCAAAACCGACCTACAAGAGTGTTAAGAAAAACAGGAATTGCATTGACTTTGGTAATAATAAAGGAAACGTACGGCTTTTACACAAGAGTTGCACCATAACTCTAAAGTGTGTAACGGTGATAACTTTAGTACAATCGCATGTTTTGTTCCTTGCTGATGAAGATGACAATGATAAGTGTCGTATTCTTTGGTATTTCCTATTGTAAATGTAAGTGATCGATTCAATCTGTTGAATAAGATTCGACTGTACCAAAATAATTGCATGAAGGATGCAAACAAAGTATGTAGTTTCCTGCATCCAACAGGGAACGAGTATTCCAGAGTAATTGCTTCTTTTCGGGCATAGCGTCAAACAGTGATTTGTGTAAATGAGGGCACATTTTGGTAAGATGATTTGACTGATACAATTCTTTCCAACTTGATTCAGGATGGCAATAATGGATACCATGTAAACGACAGAGATCAAACCAAAAAAAGCTTTGCATTGAGCGGTTGTATAATGCTGAATTGCACTGAACAAAAGATACAATATCTTTATAGCTCAAGTTGGATAAAACTTGCAATAATATTTCAAACGGTAAGTCTTGCAATTGCATGTTTGGTTATAAAGCGTTGAGATTTTGATGGGAAAAAGAGATAAAATGTGAATGAAATGGACCCTATTTATTTACATTTGTCCTGCTACAAATTTTTTTAAAATTGACAATTATAAGATGATCCGACCCTTGATTTTAGCTTAGATAATGCAGATATACAGGCTGTGGAGAAGAGCGAGAGGAAGTGAGAGGTTATGTTTGCGTCAGATGATTTTCCTTTTTTTTTTTTTTTCATCTGTATCTTGAATATGCTTAAATGTCTTAAATTTTTGGCCAGTTCTCGAATAATGCGTACTATGTCTGCATTATGTGGGACGCATAGGGCCATGATGCATGAGATGCTACTCTGAATGTGTAGTTTGGGCTCACATGAAGGGATTGATGGCAGCTCGTAGACGTCTTGCGCTCGAAGCGGTCGGTCATTCAAAATGAGGAGTGAAGAAACTCAAGTTTCATAGATTAAACAGCTTCAACAATTTCCGTAAGAAGAGAAGGCCATAATAGAGATGAAAATTGATGAGCAATGCCAATATCCTTATCAAAAGCTATGAGAGAAGGCGTATTCATATAATCGTTATTTTGTATCAACTGCTTTAATTTGTACATTTGCTTAAATGTCATCAATGATTTCTTCAATCAAACATCGGCAAACTTTTACATAATGGGTTATGAAACCTGTTAGAGAGAAATAGAAAAAAGAATCTAATTAGCCTTTCAAAGGCTCAGCATACTTTGCATTCTATCAATCGTGACATGCAGACATATAGCTGCACAGATGCTTAAAAAAAATGTACTCCCACAGACGAAAGAATCACACCACAATGATCTAATCATTCAAGATCTACTAGTGCTCTCCATTATCCATGAACACACGATGTTGAAGAGGAGCTCAAACTAAAGAAAAACCTTACAATTACCATAAATGTAGCGTTTGAATCATCCGATTAGCATTCCATTCCAACCTTGAGTCAAACTTCATGTACAAAGATAGAAGCATCGTTTCAATGCAATCCAGGAAAGAGCGATGTATTTATCAAAATGATTGCAATAAAGTGATGGCATCCTAAAAAAAGTAATAGATAGGCGAGGGTGTTTTGAAATGATGATTGTATTATGAGCAAATATGTTGTGCCTGAAAAACTCCCGCACTGTATGTGTGTGCATGCCACTTTAATCGAGGCCCTTGTCCTCCCCTCATCCAACCCCTCACCTTGTGTATGGTACGTATGAAAAACTTTTTTTTTCTGTCTTGTTGAAACTCCACGAAAGGAAAAATCATATAAAAAGGGTCTAGAAAATGTGCCTCCCCCTTGAGTCTCTTTTACTCGCTTTTCCACATTTATATATACACATCAATCATGCCTGCTGTACCATCTACTGTCACAAGCAATCCACCAAAGAAGCAACGTGCAAAGCAAAAGCTGTTTCAATGCACAGGCTATGACAATTGTAATATGGTCTTTACTCGTTCTGAACATTTGGCCAGACACACTCGGTAAGTACTTTTTTTTTTTTTTTTTTTTTTTTCAAGAGAGAGAGAGGGGGGAGAGTTTGCGTAGGTGAAGATGGACCTTGTATTAATCCAATATATGGTTTTCTTTTGCTCAATTAGTAAACACACTGGCGAGGTAACTATCTGCTCAATTCAATCATTGGTACCTTTGAATACACTTGCTAATATTAAAAATAGAAACCTTACTTATGCGTAGTACCTGGTTGTACTAGAAGATTTAGCAGATTTGATAATATGATGCAACACACTCAAACCCATAAGTCGCGTAGTAAATCGCCCGCTGCTACTTCCTCTTCTGCAAATACCAACACAAACACCAGTATGGATGCTACCAATGACACTCCCAATGAATCTACCGATGAAGCTATCACTACTACTTCTCCTACCCCTACTACTACCACTACACATAATAACGATAACGAGACTGGCGCTCCTCCTACCACGGAACCATTAATGACTAATTTTACTTCTTCAAACTCGAGAGAGCTGAGACCTTCAACTATTAAGTATGAACCTGAGACTACACCTGAATTTATCATGTCATCTAATACAACCGCTGCGGATTCTTCTGATGAAGAAGGACCCCTTATTAGTAGAAGAAAAAGAAGAAGATTCTCAACAACTACAACTACACCAACAACAATATTGCATCCCATGTCACCACCAACAAACACAACAACACCACCAGCACCACTACTAAAAGAATTACATTTGACACAGGACGAATTTGAAGCTTTACAAGGATTTGGCAGATTTAAGCATACTCCTATATTTATTGATTCATTCCGAGATTTGGCTTCTGCTGTGTATATTGATCCCAATCCTGTTCGTAACTAGCACCCATCTTGCAAAGCAAAAAAGAAAGAAAAATTACCCCTTCCTTCCCCCCCCTCTTCTCCTCCCATGCTTCATTAAAATCAACATTTATACATATAAAACCAAGGCAAACGAAATCGAAATACATTCATCTCAACCAATTCCTTCTTGTAACTTATTCTTATCATTATTCTATTAATTTTTCTAATAAAGACAAAAAAAAAAGCTTTGAAAATCTGTCATTTGCCATGGTAAAATTTTTTCTCTTGGTATGGTTACATCTCTCTAGGTTACATTGGATCCAGACCTTAAGAACAGACCCAAATCATCATCAGTGTCAAGTTTCTTTTACTCGAAGTCTATTTGGAAACAGTGGGCATTGCTATCCATATACAATCATGTACTGCACATAGCTTTTAGTGCTTAAATTAAGTTTTTCTTTTATACATTGCTATGACGCGCGCTGACAGATCGTGTTATTTAGGGCGCTTAAATCAAAATCCGTTGTAGATTCCGTAAAGAGCATGTATTGTTACTTTATCATTTTTTTTTATATATATAGAACTCTCGATTACCGTCATGACATCGTGGTTTTACGTACAATTGACGACAAATCATCAATTAGAGTTTCCGTCCATTATAATTGATCCATCCGTATAATTTTCCATTTGCAATTCCTGATAAATGATTCAATTAAAGCAAGGTCGCTATGCATAATTTGAAATAAAGTTGTTCCTTTTTGATTTCAAGGGGTTTTTCATTTAACCATCAACAAATTTTACTTTACCTTTTACCCGGGTGTTTGTATGATATAAAATCAGGCACATTTTCAACCATGATATGATGATGATAAATCTAGCACTTGGCATGTATACTCCGAAGAGACTACCTTTGTAAGTTGTTATCATGTCGAAAGATAATGAATGACTATTCACTAATTACGCCAGGACGGATGTATCGCTCTATTGCATTGATCTTTTTTTTGGATTTATAGAATAGCGATCAAGGTACGCAGAGGTATACATCAAATATGTTTAGATCACAAATCAGCCCCCCTTTTTTCGCTCTCCTTGAGTATTCGGACCTGATGGTATAATGGATACAAACATCGCAAGTTGCCATGTGAACCAATCAATACAGTTTTATGTACACCCCGAGGAGTCATAGATGTTGTTGTTGTACCTGAATTATCCAGACGAGATCAACGATCCAAGGCTGTTATTATTATCGTTTTTCTTAATATGGCAAAAATGTAAGTTAGAAACAATACCATACAGCACCGCAATAGATTAGAATTGAATTCAACATTTAGTGCATCACCATGGCAACCAGGCACCATTTTTGCCTAGTAATCAGGTACCAAGAAAAACTGTTCAGGACCCTAGTCTTGGAAATTTCGAAACGAAGAGTATGTTTTTCTTTATTCCATCTTTCAAATCAGAGCATATTGGTAAATCTGACACACTAAAATACTCTCGAAATAATTGAGATTCGGCTATCGCATCAAAAAGATAAATATTTGTATGCCAGGCACCGCTTTTTTATAATTTGAATGCTGGCAACTGAAAATGTGTGCCAATCAAAGCTGGTTTTAACCGCCAAATCGAATTGGATGATTTAGATCACACGGCTTCTCTTGATTCGAGCTCTTTATTTCATAGGTTCCTATGTATACATGTTGACTTACCTACTTCTAGGAAAGGGAACCCCTAATTAGTATCTCTTTTCAAACTACATCAATGAAATGACGCTTTTTGTTATGATCTGAGTACATTGCCCCAGTAGTGTTTTATACCAGATTCAACATGGGGATAAACAAGAATGTAGTAACACTTTGTCCAATTGGTTTATTGTCTTCTAGGCACAAATTTTGCTCTGTTTGCCCTAGCTGCCCCATAGATTGATTTTGTAGCACTGATCCAGATATCTCGAATGATGCTGGAAAAAGCCTAAAGACTAGACTTGCTCAAATGTTGTCGTTATTCTAGCCCTGCGATGGGTAAGTGTCTGAGAACAGGTTGCTAAATCTCACACGTTCATGTGAGCACTGGAAAGGAAAATGCACAGCTTTGCCATGTTTTCGTAAACACAAATACATGTAGCAGCAATTTTTGCTTAACGTGCCATGTGTTGTATCAGAAAGAACAACAGCTTTGCTTCAAAAGATGCTGCGCTTCTCTTCTTCTGTGTTACTCGAACTTCAAACGTGGATATCTTCATCCAACCACCGTAATGCACTGATATATTCATCGCAGAGAGCCAGGGGCATGTGCCTCTGTGCTAGTGTGCGCTTATTTATATAAAATCTTCGAATACTGTATGGAGAAATACGGTGATACTATATTTACATCAACAGCAGCCATTAGAGTGCACGTTTGAGGCATATATTATACTGGCAGTATATATAGGCTTAAAAGACGACAATCATGCGGTCTATTCGCCAAAAATGAAGGCTATTTTGAATTTAGTAATTTCTTGGTCCAAATCATTACCAACAATTTGCAGTGTCTGATCTACATGCTTTGACTTTTGGGATTTCTTATAAAATGAAACACCCTTCAACGTCAAATCTTTCGGGTTTCCTGTCCTTCTTTTACTTGGACAGGGATCGACTCGTATAAAAAGCACTCTTTTCGTAAATATGTCCGATAAAGGATGATTTTATCAAATTGAACAAAATCAGTTGATACACGCAAATCGAAATAGAATACAGAGAAAGAACACATACAAAGATTGACATGCTCAAGACAAAGCAAATTCAAGCGTGGATTGTCTACTGTGGATGATTGGATGAAACGTCGAGCTTGTGCTACAGAGTGGGCAATATGTTGAATGTTACCAAGATTTGGTATACACTTTATATATATATATAATATAAACAATAGACTATACCACATGGTTAAAACGATTGGCTTATTTCAACCAGCATCAAGCTGAAAGGCAAAGATTGTCATTGTACAACTTTGATGAAGAATTGACTATATATACTCTTGTAGTTTGATCAATGTTTTGGGTTTCGCTCACCTTGTTTGTCTTTCATTAATCTTAAATGTCTTTTGAAACAGAGCATAAGACCATCCAAATGGAGGAGGCTATCAGTCATGATCAGCTTGCCCTAGATGCTCTTGAACGTCGTCGAATCGCTTTAGAAGAGGTACTTGATAGATATGCATCACTTTCAATGCAATACTGACTTTCATACTTCTTTAGATTGATAACGCTGAATTCGGTTGGTTCCATATTCGTGCCTGTATCGTCTCTGGTATCGGTTTCTTCACTGATGCTTATGATATTTTTGCCATCAACTTGGTTTCTACCATGATTGGCTTCGTCTACTTTTCTGCTAGCAACAACAAAACTCCTTACAATGTTGATACTGCCATCAAAGTATCTTGTTCAGTTGGTACTGTCGTTGGTCAACTTGCCTTTGGTTATCTCGCTGATCGTGTAGGTCGTAAGAGAATGTATGGTGTTGAGTTGATGATTATCATTATTGGTACTGTTGGTCAAGCTCTTGCTGGTAATGGCCCTGCTGCTTCTTTCTGGGGTGTCATTACTTTCTGGCGTATCATTGTTGGTGTTGGTATTGGTGGTGATTACCCTCTTTCTTCTGTTATTACCTCTGAATTTGCTACTACTAAGCGCCGTGGTGCCATGATGGCTGCTGTATTCGCCATGCAAGGTATTGGTCAATTGTCTGCTGGTCTTGTCGGTTTGATCTGTACTGCTGCTTTCCAAAGCGCCATCAAGGCTGACCCAACAAAGTTAGATTATGTTTGGCGTCTTGTTATCGGTCTTGGTGCAGTTCCCGGTGTCTGTGCTCTCTACTACCGTCTTACCATCCCTGAAACCCCTCGTTTCACTATTGATGTTGAACAAAAGGTTGAGAAGGGTATCCGTGATGCTAAGGCCTTCATTGAAAAGGGTGCTTCTGCTGGTGATTACACTGATAACATTGCTATTGCTCGCACCAACGCTTCCCCCAAGGCTTCATGGTCTGATTTCTGCAGACATTTCGGTCAATGGCAAAACGGTAAAATCTTGCTTGGTACAGCCTACTCTTGGTTTGCTCTTGATGTTGCATGGTATGGTCTTGGTTTGAACAACTCCATCATCTTGAGCGCCATCGGTTTCGGTAGTGATTCTGATCCCTACACTGCCGTCTTCCGTACCTGTGTTGGTAACATTATTATCAACTTGCTTGGTTCAGTGCCTGGTTACTGGATCTCTGTCTTTACTATTGACAAGCTTGGTCGTAAGACTATTCAAATTATGGGTTTCGCTATGCTTACTATTATGTTCGTTGTCTTGGGCTTCGGTTATGAGAAGATCCTTGCTACTTCCCAAGTCCTCTTCATTGTCCTCTATACCATCACTCAGCTTTTCTTCAACTTTGGTCCTAACACTACCACCTTCATCGTTCCTGGCGAATGTTTCCCTACTCGTTACAGATCTACTGCTCACGGTATTTCTGCTGCCTCTGGTAAGATTGGTGCTATCGTTGCTCAAGTTGGTTTCGGTCTTTTGAAGGATATTGGTGGTCCTAACAAGTGGATCAACCATCTCTTGCAAATCTTTGCCTTCTTCATGTTGACCGGTCTTGTTTCTTCTTTCCTTATTCCCGAAACCAAGGGCAAGAGTCTTGAAGAATTATCTGGTGAGCTCCCTCCTAGAGAGGTCTCCGATGATGGTCAAGTCAAGGGAACTTACTAAACACAATCATAACTAATCTTATCTCCAATGTACTACTTAATAACCTGCTATTGCTTTTATAATTAACATATCAATCTAATCTTATTTAATAAATATGTCCTGTAAAAATAATGGTATTCTTATTAATTAACTAATAGAAAAATTTGCTGTATATTCTCTTTCAACTGATGACAGACATCCGAGAATTTCCTTTTTGTTACACCCATCGAGATATATACAAGTACCTGCCCGTTGTCAGTATTAAGTTAATCATATGTATGATGATGCTGTGTACAGTGCAACCATGATCCATTCATCCATTTTTATACATTTAGTCGAAGCATGAACTATCAATCACTGATCCCACATCTTGGAGTGTTAATTTCATGCCCTCTGACTGGACCAAACTCTCTTTGTGTAATGTTCCTCTTAGATTGGGCAAATTCTTTAAAGCAAGCACTTCTCGCACTGAACACAACAAATCTCTTTGTGGAGTAATTGGTGAACAAAAATGTTAAATATTGCCTTCTCCAGAATCTAAACTTGCTATTTGAACATCTCAACTGACGGCAAAGTCAAGCGTAGTTTCTTCAGAGGAAATTGAACTATCAATCTGAATTTTGATTTCATTCAAAAGCTCGAGTATAAAATGATAGATACATGGTTTATTTGGAATCATTTCTTTTCTGAAAGTTATTAATGTACAGTTTTGATATTTAGCTACAAAGAAGCTTTTGCTTCTTTCTCTTTGAAAGGTTTGTTTAAACAGACAACTCGGCTTTGGTATTTTCCTTGAGAATTTCAGCATAAGGAGCTAATGCAGGCTTGACATGCTTGGCCAAGAAGTTATCAACTTGTTGAGGAGCACGACCAATGAAGGTGGAAGGATCCAACAACTTGGGAAGATCAGCCCAGATGGGTTCAAAGTATTTAGTCTTCTTGATACGTTCAATCAAATCATTTTCGCCACCTTCCATTTTGACTACATGGCCAGCTTGATGGGACAAAACACGGATCTCTTCGTGGCACTCTTGACGATCACCACCCTTCTTCACCATAGCCATGATGACGTTCTCAGTGGCCATGAAAGGTAATTCTTGGAGAATACGACGTTCAATAACCTTGGGGTAGACAACCATACCTTCACAAATGTTTTGGAGGGTGGTCAAAACGATGTCAGTAGTCAAAAAGGCCTCAGGCAAAGAAATACGACGGTTGGCAGAGTCATCCAAAGTACGTTCGAACCATTGAACAGCACTGGTTTGAAGGGCATCATTAACAAGAATCATCAAGTGACGAGAGAGAGAGCAGACGCGCTCAGAACGCATAGGGTTACGCTTGTAGGCCATGGCAGATGAACCAATTTGATCCTTCTCAAAAGGCTCCTCAATTTCCTTCAAATTAGCCAAAAGACGGATATCAGTGGCAATCTTGTGGGCAGTAGCACCAAAGCCAGAGAGAGGGTGCAAGACATCAATATCAATCTTGCGGGAGTAAGTTTGACCACAGACGGGATAAGCTTCCTTAAAACCAGAGAGCTCAGTAACCAATTGATCCAATTCCTCGACCTTGTCATGGTCACCTTCGAAAAGAGCCATGAATGAAGCTTGGGTACCGGTAGTACCCTTGACACCACGCATTTTGAGGTCATCACGAGCACGCTCAAAGTTACGCAAATCCCACAACAATTCTTGGATCCACAGAGTAGCACGCTTACCTACAGTGACAAGCTGAGCAGGCTGGAAGTGAGTGAAACCCAAAGTAGGCAAAGCACGGTATTCTTCAGCAAATTTGGAGAGGATATCAATGACATGAACAAGCTTCTTGATAACAATATCATAGGCATCTCTAAGGATGATCAAATCGCCGTTGTCTAATATTGTACAGATCAGCAAATTGAACACAAACGCACCGTACCCAGGCGTATTACTTACCAGTGACATAACATGAAGTGGCACCCAAGTGGATGATGGGAGCAGCGGCAGGAGCAACAAGACCAAATGTGTGAACGTGAGCCATGACATCGTGTCTGCGCTTCTTTTCCTCCTCGGCAGCAACAGCATAATCAATATTGAAAATATTGGCCTTCATTTGTTCAATAGCTTCGTCAGTAATATCTGTTAATCCGAGTTGTTTTTCGGCAATAGCCAAATTAGTCCAGAGTTGACGCCATGTAGCATAACGCTTGTCTTCGGAGAAGTTGTAAGCCATCTCCTTGGAGGCATAACGAGAAGTCAAAGGAGATTGATACTTGTCGTGGACGTTGGCCATTTTTTGAATGTATAGAAAAGGGATGAAAGAGGTTTAAGGCTATTAAAAAAGGTGGGGAGATCTTTTTTATGTGTGTTAAATGATGGGTTGGATTGACAGCAAAAAAAAAAGGAGTCAGACGCTGACTCTTCATCTAAGTGGCTTATGCCAGCATGAAATATAGATTTCGTGGTTACAACTCAGAGATCCATCCATAAGGCTCTACATCAGACAGGCTGAGAGCTGTGCAGTAAATGCATGCACACAGAAAGCCAGTAGCATATTGTTCTCTTTTATAAGCAAAGCTTTATACCTTGATTTTTTCGAATGCAAGAATATTCAAGATCCTTGATCTGAATATGCTCTATTCTTCCGCCCTTCTCCGGAAAATCACATATATGCTGTAAAAGATCTCAGCTCCAGTTTCAAAAGATCTACAATACAATGATTGCATAAGTTTTAGTCATTGTTCTTGTCTTGTGTTATCGTGGACTCCTTTTTTTAGCACTTTTGTAATTCCAATTTGAAGAAATATCAGTGCTTGAACTCATTATACCACAAGGATTTGATATATACAGTACGTCAAGTAGTATAAGTTAAATCAAGCGTACTACTTTGTAGTATATATATTGTACTAGCCGATCTATCTCGCTACGCTCAATGTCGGCGTCGCCCTGTGGGTTCTCGCCAAAGACATTTTAAATCAGATATTATAACATTTTGGTATATCAAGTAAATTTTAAACAATCAATTATTAGTAAAAGAAAGATTTTATCAGAACCAGGAGGTGGAGGGGAGGAGACATCTCTCTCAGCACCCTTTTTACTTACCCACTGATATCAAACGAAGCCTATTATTATGTGAAAGAAAATTCAAATTTTATGCAGCATTTGTACACCACAATCTCCATTTTCTGATAATAGAATTGTTATATCATTCACTGCCGCTGATGCTCTTAATAAGATGGCGACATAAAGCTGGTCATAAATAAACACAGGACTTGTGTAAGGCTTACAGCGACTTTTTGAGATATTGTCATTGCAAAAGACTCCTCCATTAGGCAAAACTCCCAAAAAAAAAAAAAAAAAAAAAAAAAAAAAAAAAGAAAGTATTTGCACTAAGCAATTGTCCTTTCAATTCCATGATCCCCATTTAATCAGCATCACAATCATCATTGTTGTCATCATCAGAAAGGCATTTTTTTAAAGGTTTTTATTACTTGCTCCGCGTAGACAATAGTAGCAGGACTATAATCAAGCGGCGGACGCAATTTTCTGTGATAATATTATATATGTTTAGACAAAATATGAGAACGATATAAAAGAGGGACTATTATAGGCTGGCATGAATGAGATCTTCGTCGATCATTTTTTGGATGTCGAGTCGGATACTATTCAGCACAGCGGCGGGAGCGAAGGAAGTTTGATCGAAGATTAGACGATAGTGAGCTTTCCAAATGTTAGACATCGCAATGATGACTATATGATGGGAGGAAGCACGAGGCCGCTGACTATATCGAATATTGTAAAAGTCGAGAGTGAGGAGGGAATGGCGGATATCATCAATGGTTACCGTGGGCCAGAGGAACTCAGAGATAATACCCTGCCAGACCGCTGGCTTGGGTGGACATTCAAAAAGGAAGTGGTCAGTGGAATCTTCAACTGAGGAACAGACAAAGCACAAGGGGGACAAGTAAACAGAGGGGAACCTCAGATTCAATAGAGACTGATGGGGAATGCAATTGTTGATGAATCGATATACGACATTTCTTTGGATCATGGTCAGGGACAAAGGCCAGAAAAACGACCATTGGGGAGATGCTATGGCAGCCAATCGTTGAGGAACGACGGAAGCAGATGAGCATGCCTGCCGAAACGATTTGGATCTACAGCCAGTGGAAGTCATTGCAAGGTTGTTGTCAGTTGTGAGGTGATCAACAAATGGTTGCAATGAAGGACTGGATGGTGAAGGAAAGACAGCGGAGGAAGGAACACACAGAGGGAGAAAGAAGGGTTGCAACTTAAATGTGCCTTTTGCAATGCCCTGAATCAGTTGTCGAGGTGCACGCTGCCATACAGCAAGTGTGGGGTCGAAGGAACGTTTCCAGTGGAGAAATTGCTCAGTTGTATGCACAGCAAAGACGTCGGCGACAGTCATTGAATGGATTTTGCGAGGCAATCTGACACCAAGTAGAGGGTCGGAAAATATGACGATGGATAGAGGTAGCATGAGAGCAGTGGGCAAGTCGATCACGACGTCGTCAAAGTTCCTCGGTAACATGTCGATTGATTTGTACATCATGTCAATGGTGTTTGCGCGTCGTATTGTTGTGAGCCGTCGTCGTGCAACTGGAAAGAGCAGCGGTAGTTGATGATGAGAGGAACGGTTGTGGTTGTTGATATGATATACGAGAATAGCCAGCAGTGGATTATTAGTGAAAGACGAGGAATCCAATTGTAGTAAGGGAGATACCCAACGAAAGTGCAATGCAGCATACTGGAGATTGACGTCGAGTATGCCGAGACCACCTTGGGAGCGGGGGAGAGTCCATATTACTGTATTGCCTTATGAAAAGGACATGAGTTTTCCAGTTGGCCCCACCAGCCAGAATTAATTCAACCCCAGAATCATAGTCTGTTCCAGATTGGACAAATTTTGATGATTCTGGACTCGATCGAGCTATTTTTGCAGATTCGACTAAGTGAAGTATGATAATCACCCCATGCTTCCTTAAGCTTTCCTGGAGTACTTTTCAAGGCGCTTCCAATGGTACCAAGTTATATAGATGTTTTGAATTCACTTATTGAATGATTTGTAAACATATGAAAAGAGGTTTCTGGCCAAAATGTCGAAATTTTACATATTAAAGTCCCACAAAGATGATTTCAGTGGTTGCTTTGGATTGATAGAAACGTTTTGATTCAAGATATACCATAATAAAAGTCTCCATTTTCAAGGTGAAAAACGCGATCGTTTGATTTTCGATGAAAATCATGAGGGGTACCTCATGCTTTTTGGTCGAATTTTGTTCATGTTTTTTTGATCCCCAAAAAGTTGAGCAAAGGTGTCAGGAAGTAAGTGCCAGATGAGATCATCAATTGTTTGGTGCTATTCTGACAGTCTAAAACGGCCTTGAACGCGAGAAAACGCAGCTCAAATGCATTCAAATTTTGCTGTATTATGGATACTAAGGACTAAAAAGTGGAAATACCAGTATGCTACTTGCCCGTATATGTAGATACGTGTATATGGATGTAGAGCATCGGATAAGAATCAGATCCACAGATATTATCAAGGGTTTTCATGTGTAAGTAGAGGGTCAGCTTGAACGTAGTAGTATTAATTATGATGAGGTACACAAGGGTAACCGGTAGCTCGAGCTGTCGCTGTGCAGGTTGGTTCTCTACCTTCGCTTCGCTTCGGTGAGAACCATCCGAAGCATAAACACTCATATGATTAGTGATTATATATCAAGCAACAATCAGGGCTCTTCTAACATTTTAGCTATATTAATTTTGCGATATTAGCCAAAGGCCCGCGGCAGCGCAAGCCGTTTGAACGTAGGTTGGTTTCCACCAAAGCGAAGCGTAGGTCAGGAAACCACCCGAAGTGTTGAAAGGCTCGTATACTATAGTAAAAGTCTTCATTTTCACGGTGAAAAACGCGATCGTTTGATTTTTGATGAATTTTTTTTTTTCGGTGGATAATATTAAAGACTTTATTAGTAGTCTTGCGCCCAATAAAGGCTTTAAATGTATCAAAATACGAGACAAGTGTATGTGAACAAAGTGACTTGCAAGAGAAAACTAGAGTGATAATAACTACATAACTATAGACGGAGGAAAATGTTTGTGTGGAATTTGAGGCTTGATAGACTAAAATTCACGGAAAAAAAGAATAAAAAACAGTAATGTCAACTTGATAAAGGTATATTTTATTATCAAACTGACAGGTGTAAAGTAAACTGAAGTCCCTCTACTGGCCAGGTAGATGATCCTTCTTATATACTATAACAATGGATAAATGTTCTATTAATTAGATTGACAAATAAGTCAACTCAGATCAACTAATGTCTAATCATGCTAAAAGACAACTCCAGCAAGCTAATCATGATTTAGCTCTGTCTGGATGAATAATTAGACTCTCATCCGAAGTACCCTGATCTATCCTTTCTATAAGGATAATTAATATCGATCTAGTAGCATGTATCCGATAGGTACAGTCTCCTTAGTCTATGTTAATAGTACATATCTGAGTGTATATCGCTAAGCATACATCTTTAGCATGTATCTGGATATATGGCATGTCTATAGCATGTCTCATATATTGCACAAGTCTGTAGTACATAAAGTATCTGTAGCTAGTATCACGGATATAAGCATGTGTCTTATAGCGTGGATCATGAAGTGCACATCTGAAGCAACAAGCTCATATTGCATTAATCTTGGTGCCTATCCAGATATGGTAAACATCCGTAGTCAATGTCGGAATACAAGTATAAGTCTATAGTGCCATCCATGTCCGTGGTGCCATCTATAGCCTATATCTTATATAGTATGAATCTTATAGTACTAGCGTATCTGAAGTCCATATCTTCTTATAGTATAAATCGATATCATACATCTAATCCAGTGTACATACAGCTTATATCTAAATCTGGTAACTGGATGAACTGTCGGAATGCAGATCATAGTGGATGTATTCCACAGTTTGTCCCAACACAAACTACCAGGCGAAACCAGACTGGATAGACTTCAAGATTGTAACTTCAACGGAGATAGTTTTATAATGGCTATCTCTCCGCGCAAGCGCCCTTGTGTCTCGATTGCGCAGCTCACGGCTGAAACGCTTCAGGTGCGAAAACCACTCTGACAGCGACCCCGAAGGGCTTTTTGATGGAAAACCATGAAGGGTGTCTCATGCTTTTTGGTCGAATTTTGTCCATGTTTTTTTTGGTCCCCAAAAATCTGAGCAATAGCGGCCATAAACAACTGCCAGACGAGAGCAATTGTTTGGTGCTA